GAAAGATGGCGGGTGGGAGGAAAGGCACTGGAAGTAAGAGAGGAGCAGAGGGGAGGGCTGGACCTGGGGTAGGAAGGAAGGAGGGGGCGAGGGGGAGGCAGGGATGGACGTGAAGGAAGAAGGAGCAGAAAAGAGAGGGGGAAGAGGTAGGAAACTGGTGTCTGGTGAGATTTGGCTTTAACTGGCCCCATCCTCTAAGACCAAGAAGTGGCCTCCCTACGGCAGGTCTGCCCTTGAGCCTTGGGGATGGTGGTGGGCACTGGGACGCCCTGCAGCTTGCTGTAGGGGCTTCTGGGGAAAGCCCTTTTGGCCTCTTCCTCCCTAGATCCCAGTGGGTGGCTGGCTTTGCAGCTGGCATCGTGGGTGATCACACAGGGGTACAGGTGTTAAGGCTGGCTGGGTGTGGACCAGAGGGAAGAGCAGGGAGCCTGATAGCTGGGGCGGCATCCTTCAGCTTGGACTGCCCACCTCCAGGCACCTTCTACATGGGAAAATAAAATAAAATAAAGCTCTCTCTGGTTTAAGCCACTGTTATGAAGTAGGACAGCCTTATCTGGACACCGGAGGATTTGGCAAGAAGCAGGTTTGTTGACTGCAGCTCGGTCCAGAGGAGGCTTTCACCTAAAACAAATTTCCCTCTGAATGCCAGAAATTCTTTTAACTTTATACCCCCGTGATGGGGGGTTGGAGGGCGGAGCTTGGAAGCTTATGATTTTCAGAAGTTTACATAGAAGTATAAAAATAACTTTTTCTTTGAGTTCTCAGAAGGTGCCAATTGTGCCATTTCTCAGAACAGTAGGGGGATTTTACAGGGTACACCACAAAAGCAGAGCACGTCCACCAAGTCCGCGGTTAAATTTAGTTTTTGCAAGACGGAGCAGAGAACAGGAAACACGGCATCTGACCACATTGAACCCTTCGGCAGAGATCTTGACTGATATCTTGTTAACAGGAACAATTGTGGTGAGGGTCCCTGGAGAAACTTAAATAAGTTGCATTGGTGGAGGAGCCAGTGCCAATACAGTTATTTTCTGTCTCTGATACTTGGCAATTTGTGTGATTCTCAACTGACAAACTTCCTCTTCCGCACATTGGCAGGATTAAACAGGTATTTATAAAATATGGCACCGGCCCATTGCATCATGAGCACACAAGGGACCGATGCTTCTTATCTCTGAATAAAGGAACTAGGAGATTATCACAATTTCACCAGAATCACTTACTGGGGATAAGTGTGTAAGTGACCACAGGGTTAGTGATTGCATGTGGGAAGAGAGAGAGAGAAAAAGTAAGGGAGGCAGGGAGAAAAGGGGAGAGGAGAAGGTCTGCAGTCAATGGCAGAGCGTGGCATGGCGGCATGCAGCCTGGGTTCCACCCCCACCAAAAGCAGTAGGCCTCTCCTCCAGGCCTTTATCACTATATTGCACAGACATTAGAACATACTGACCTCAGATGATGAAACCACCAAGGGAGAAAGTTACTTTGTTTTCTAAAAGAGGCAATTGTATTTCAAGGGTTAATGTAAATGATGCTGGGACACCCTCCCTGGCGCATGCTACCTTCCTACTGGGAAACAAGACTGGGACCTCTCTAAACAGGTGTCTCCTGCAATGATGATATTCACCCAGGCCAGTCACTTCATCTTAGGAGGGGTACAAAAAAATGGGTGCTTTTCACTAAAAATGTTCTTTGTTCCACATGGCTTTATGTGGCAGAATCACTCTATTTTAGAGGAAGAAAAATCTGCCAGGGGCTGGAGTTGCAGCTCAGTGGCAGAGCGCTTGCCTGCTGCGTGTGAGATACTGGATTCGATTCACAGCGCCACACATTAATAATCAAATAAAATGAAGGTCTATCAACAACTAAAAAATATTTAATAAATAAATAAATAAGTTAGCTTCCAAACTTCAATTCTTCCAAAGGCCCTGTTGGAGCTCCTCCTCCTCCCCTCCCCCCACCTCCGCTCCCCTCCCCCCCTCCACTACCCTCCCCTCCTCCTCCTCCTTTTCACTGGGGATTGAACCCAGGAGCTTTACCATTGTGCTACATTCCCAGCCCTTTTAACTTTTTATTTTGATGTGGATCTTGCTAAGTTGCTGAGGCTGGTCTCAAACTTGCAATCCTCCTGCTTTGGTCTCCCAAGGTGTGCACACTGCACCCTTGAGAACATCCCATCTTCCTTAAGCACACAGCGTGAAGATGGTCAAGGCCCAGATGAGGGCACAGCATCAGAGGAGATTGCCAAGGGATGGAAGAAGCAAATGTACAAGATAATTGGCAACATGGAAGGTCTCGTCTCTGCCCTATTAGATTACACACGGTTTCCAACAAGATGGGGCAGGTTTGGTGGGGCATGTTGGGGGTGGACTACCGATGGATCATCAGGATTTTAGCATTCACGCCTGCACATCGTAAAGGGACGTGACTCACATTCTAAATGATTCAGAGGACACTGGAACACGGACTCAAAATTGATTAAGTGTATATGGAAAGTATTTTTTAATATGAAGTTTCAGTGAAAAGTTTAATAAAGAAAGAAAAGGACAAAAATAGTTCAGAGATGGATTCAAGGAACTTACAGAGAGAGAAAAAAAAAACGTGCAATTTTAACTCTGAAATGGAGAGGCTGAGTTGACATCCTTTCTTTGGTTCCCTAAGTCAGTCTAAATCCAAAGGAAGGGAGGGAGGGATGGAGGGAGGGAAGGAGGGGAAAGGGAGGGAGAGGGGAAGGAAGAAAGGATGGATCAACTAGACCAACTAAGGAAAACAGGGAATAACATGGAGAAATTCGCTTTGCATCCCTTGCCATCAGTTCCTTAACCACCATGGGAGGGCTAGGGGTGTGGTTGGGGGCGGGGAGCACAGGCCCAGCCTGCACCAGGTCCTAGGTTTCATCCCTAGTATCAATACTCTCTCTCTCTCAAAACAAAAACCCACAATGGGAAAGTCATTGTATGACCCACCTTAAACAACCTGAGAAGAAAATGAATAGATTAAGGATTTACTCCAAAAAAGGCTCAGATGTTGTTCAAACTTCATTAATAGAAATTCTATGGATGGGATGACATTTTATTCCATTGATTGCATTTGGACGTGCTAAATTCTTCAGCCAGAAAAAATGGACCCCTGTAGATTTTTCTTAAGTGAATTTGTGTGTGTATGAGAGACTTTGTTTTACAATATCATCAATTTAGAATAAAATTTTCTTGTTCCACTTGCCTTCAGCCATTCACTAATAAAGTAGCATGTGACTGAAGACAATGATAATAATAACAATAATGATGATGATGATGATAGTGCACTCCCCACCCCACCACACCCACAACACAGCATGAAAACGGATGCAGATCTCTGCTCCCCACAGGGTTTCTTACCTCTGTGTGTTTCAGGCCCTTTGCTTCACTGCAGTGACAGCTGAGTCTCACAGGGTAGTGGGACCACTGAAGGCTTCTGGGGGCTTCCAGGCCTCCCTTCCCAAGAAGCCTGGGCCCTGGTCTTAGCCCTCTTTCACCTCAGTTCTCCCAACAGGATTCTTTAAGGAATAATCTCATGTCCTGGGCAGGTGAGTGGCAGGTAGGGCACACCCCCTTCTCAGCAGCCCTCCCCCGATGATCCCTTTTTAAAGGGGAAGTCACACCTGTCCTTGAGACAGAAGGTGACCACCAAACCCTGGGAATTAATATGCTCTTCTCAGGGACGCTCGGGCATTTCTAAATGGAGGCCCAGGCCAGCAGCAGAGGGAAGTTTTCAAATTGCTAACATTTTTCTTTTGGCCACTGCTGTGAGCCGGCTAAGCACGGCATATTTTATTATTATTATTATTGAAGGGCAGTAATGAGTTGAGAACCTTAAAACTCTCCAGTGATCATGGAGTAAGGGCCATACTTACACCCACTTGCATACTGCCTGTTCCCCATTCAGCCAACCCCTGACCAAGCATTCCCTCTTCGCCCAGCCTTTGCCACCCCCTTTCTACAATCCAGAGAATGGAGGACATTGTCCTCATTTGGCAATGAGGGGAGCAACCCCCTTTCTTGCCTGAGGGTACACAATAAAACCTCAGAGTTGAACCTCAAACATGCACATCTCTCCAACTACCATCTTCCACTGACCACATTAAATGAACATTTATTGAGTACCCAATCAGTGGATTAAACTGGGCTGGACAAGTCATACATTGGATTGAAAGGTGACAAGGAAGCCTCCTTTTAGGGAGGAGCATTGCCACCTCCCTAAGCACCAGTCAGTCCCACCACACAGAGGATAAGAGGGGGCTAAAAGAAAGAGTCCCATCCAAAGGTGCTTTCGAATTTGGTCAGCTCTTTTGGAATTTTTCTGACAGAGAGAATTTAGAACTAAATAAGGTACCACTTGGAAGTACCCCATAAATTGTAAAGCCCTAAAAAAATGTTAATACTTGATTTTACTAGTACAGTTACCACAGCAGTCATAATTCACCAGGATTAGGGTCAGACAAAGCAGTTGATGGAAAGACTCTTAGCAGGCTCTTGGGGTTCTGATGGTCCAGGTGATGAAGAAATAACTTCTAGGCCCACAGAACTGAAGAGCAATGGGGGACTGTGTAACCATGTCTCCCTCCTGGTACACACTTTCTAGAAGTTTCCAGAGCATATCCATCTTTCTGCAGCTACTCCAGCAGAACGTGCACCTGTGGTAAATGGCGCCCATGAGCAGTGCCACATTGTCATGCTTCATTTCACAGGATTTAGCAATGCAGAGTGACTCCTGGGGACAACCTCCCCCTGCCCCGCCCAGAGAGAGAACATTACCTGTTCTTCCTCATCTGAAAATTCATGAGAAAATTCCTAAGCTTGTAATGCTAAGCCTTAAACAAGGGGAAAAGGTGTTTGAGGAAGAGGGAAATGAGGGAGAAAAATGAACATGATCCTTCTCTGGGACTAGCTGTGCGACTCCATTGTTCAGTGTTGGCCTATAATTGTCAATGCTATTGTTACACGGTAATTCCAAATAAAGACATCTTAAGAAAAAGTAATGGCCCATATATTTGTTTTGGGGAATATAATACTTTAAATTTTGCAAGAAGATATCTGTATAGCATCCCCACTCATTTCCCAATCATTTTATTATTCGATAATTACAACCCCACGTGAAGTCAAAATGATTTTTGAGAGGAGCTCCTCTGTGATGTGGTTAAGTCACATGGAATCCCCAGGCTTATAACCAAAAAACACATAGCTCCACGCTTCCGGCTGGCAGAGAACAATCATTCCATTGAGGGCTTTGCATGGGTTGACATCAAAGACAGGACGGAACTTCTTTATTGGCACAGACACGGGTGCAGGCGGTAAAGGCAAAGCCTACTCCTCAGCTGTCCCATCCAGGATGTGCTTAAAGGAGAACGGAGAAAACTTGTACCCAGCCCCAACATAGAACTTGTTCTGGAACTCCACCCTGTTGTTGGGAGGAAGGATGAGAAAAAGGGGGATTAAATAAGAAGCTGGAGGTCAGCACGCAGCAGGAAGAAAATCAAGTACACATTCAGAGAGGCCTGCTGGGGAGTCTCCCCGGCTGATGGCTGCCATGGGAATCCTGGTGGTTTTTAAGCCCTTCTCTTGACCACCACCCCCACCTCACTTCCTCCAGGCCTCAGGGACCACAACACTGGCAGCTCTTCCCATGTTGCCCCTGCCTCCATCACAAGCAAAGACGCCCTCGCTGTTCCTGAGGTCACGCATGGCCTCTGTTGCCATCTGACTCCCGATTGTGGGGCCTGTGCTATTGTGGGAGAAACAGGTCTGTACGTCTATAACTTACAGAGTGAATACCACAGACCATCATTTGTGTTTTGTGATGTTCAGAGTTCACGTTCCCAGTGGCATGGAGGGAAATGACGTGGCTATGGAGGCAGGGCATTCTCTCTACTGATTGCAGAAGCATAAGAACTTTTCTTGTGATCAGCTACCATAGAGGGGGATAGAAAAGACCAGTGTAAGCTGAGGACAGTGTGGGTGGTTTGAGGGAATGCATGGCATCCTCAGCTTAGTGTCCACCGATAGTCTCTGGGGACATTTTGTAAACACCCAGGGCTTCCTGTGAGCACCTTCCTCACTGCGGTACCACTTTGGCATCGAGTAGCTTGTTCTATGGTTATAACTCCCATCTTCAGCAGCCACAGCAAACATCCAGATTGACACGGCACACAGTCTAGGAACCCAGGTCAGACCTGTCATCTCATCTGTGCTTGGACAAGTCACTTATTTTAAATGTGTGTTTAATATTTAAAAGAGGAGTGAACGAAAAGTAACATTTATTATAGGGCAGCCAGTATATATGGAAATGTGTCTTATGTCATCATTTAATATTATCCCAGCAGACAACTCAACTAAGGTTGCAAAAAGGTACGCAAGTCACTAACATCATGCAGCAGGTGGGAATATGAAACTGTCAGTCTGCCCTCTTTCCCTACACCACCCTGAGCTTCTACAGGAAGACTGTCCTTACCAATGCAGCCGCAGGGCATGCAGGAAAGCCGAGAGGCCCTCCATGATGAGAAGGATGGCTACTGTCAGAACAGCAAACACGGCAAAGATGATGAAGGCCCCGATGAGTCCTCCCCAGCCTTCCTGGTGAAGGCCAGTCTTCATCACCATGGTCCAGAGCACTTCAGAGAGTTCTGCAAGATACAAGAGACACATTCTCAACCATGGGGTCTATCTTGTAAACACAGATTATTTCTATGCAATCATGGTAAATCTGCAACTCCACTCAGATGGAGAACTCATGCACATGTGCCCTAGGGTACCTGTAAAAGATTGTCTGCAGTTTTGTTCACAGCGGCGGGGTTACCCTCAAGAGGAAACCAGAGAAATACATGGTGGCATATGAGTCACCAGTGGAAGTAAGCAAACTAGAGTTATTGGCAGGAAAATGAATGGATCCAAGTCATATGATTTATACACACAAACACACACAGAATGCACATAGCATGACTTGTTAGAAACTGAGTATTTATATCTTTCCCCAGATTCATAGGTTGAAGCCCCAACCTGCAACGTGATGGTATTTGAGACGGGTCTTTGGGAGGTGATGAGGGTTCGAAGAGATTGTGAAAAGTGTTTCCATGATGAGATTAGTGACCTTATAAGAAGAGACAGCAAGGAGTTTGCTCTTACTCTCTTTCTCCCCTCCTTGGAGGACATACCAAGAAGGTGGCCATCTGCAAGCTAGGAAATGAGCCCTCACCAGAACCCGACCATGTGGGCACCCTCTTCTTGGACTTCCAGCCTCCTGAGCTGGGAGAAAATAATTCTCCATTGCTTAAGTTCCCAGTCTATGGCATTTTGTCATGGCAGCCCAAGCTGACCAAGTCAGGATTCTACTCATGTAAACTCAAAATGTGGAAAACTACACTAAATTGATTAGGGAATCATAAGTACATGGTAAAATATAATAAAACAGCATTCCTCTGGCAAACACACCACAAGTGACTCAGGGAAGGCACTTCTGCCTTCGAGTATGCTGCATGAAGCTCCCAGGGGAGACTGACTCACGTGCATGAGCCAAGCTGAGGGCCCAGAGCCGGAGGTACGAGGCCGTGTTGGAGATGCAGCCCAGGCAGTACTCGATGGTGTGGATGGCCTGGTGGACGAAGATGTCTCCAAAGTTGAACTGAAAGAGAATTTTTTAAAATTTTATGAAGTACTTTCTTCTTTTATTTTTTCATATCAACAACCTTAAAAAATCTTATTTTTCACTTTCTGAATTTGTGATTGATTTGATAATTGTACATATGCAATTATTGCAAGACAGGCAGTCTGATATCTCAACACATGTATACAACATGTGCTGAGTGAGTGAGGGTAATGACCATTTCTGCCTGCTGACCAGTCCTGCATCTTTGGAGCCTTCGAGCTCCTCTCTTTGAGTTCTGCATAAAATGGGTAACAGGCTCCTGTGGACTGCAGTCACTGTCCCTGCTGTGGAGCACTACAGCTCATGTCTTCTCTCTGTGTCTTGGTGCCTATTGTCCAGCCTCTCCATTCCCCTTGCCTATGAAAGGTGTTGCAAACGAGGTTCAGATGAACACGGTGTGTGCTCTGCTGTTGAGACACTTCAGGCTAACTCAGGGAAATAAATATTTTATGAGGAAAACTAGGACAAAGTAAGGTAGGGTAAGCGTGTGGTGACGTTTCCCAGTGATAGCGGAGAAACTAAAAGAAGGATCAGTGTGGCTGAAAATGGAAGTTTGTTTAGGTGAAGAACCCAAAGACAGTGCCTGGTGGTTGAAGTTTTTGGAAGGCCAAGCTCTGGGGAGAGTTGAGAAGTCGGCCTGGAGTCAGTGAGGTGAGCAGACACCTGGGGGAGGTGAGCTGGCAGCTTCGTGGACTGGAGAAGAGCGGCCTGTGGGCAAAAACGCCGATGTGGTGATTGGCTCAGTCCCTCAGACCCGAGGTGAGAGGGTGGCAGGAAGCCACAGTGGCTCGTTTGCCTTCCATCACGCTGACACATGGGGAAAACAGTCCAGGCCCTGACCTCGCCTCAAGTTGCCCACAGCCCAGCAGGGAGAAGGTGCTGGCAGCCAGCACAGCCCAGGATAGAGGAGCAGCAACCGGGACACACAGCAAACATGGGAGTGGGACACTGTCCCTCCCATCCAGCTGGGGCCAGAGCCCTACAGTGCTCTGAGGCCATGGAGCTCTGGTGACCAGAAGAACAGCACCTCAGCGATGGAGAGAGCAAGGAGGAGGTAAGCAGCTGACCCTCGTGTGGGCCGAGCTTCTGACGACAGCGGCCATATGGGAGAATGGTTCAGCACGCGGGAAAGGTGGAACTGGAACTCAGCAGAAGAAGCCCCGCTAGGGACAGACACTCGGGACATCCATGGAGGAGCAAGAAACTCAACAAGGGACGGGTCACAGAAGGAGGAGCTCTCAGCCTCCAGAAACATCTTCTTTCAGGGATGAGGAAGAAAAGAAACGGGGCCACAGTCAACCATGTCCCAAGTAATAGAGAGAACCCAAAAAAGCAATGCCCCTCCACTCAGCCATGGAAACAGCTCTGTGGAACCAAAGGCGCAGGGCTGGGCAGGGATGGAGCGGGTAGAGTCAAGATAACGGAGCGGGCCTGGCTTGGGCCTGGCTCCTGGGAGGGCCCCTCTAAACCCGCGGCATCTCACTAGTGGAGCGTCTGCTACTCACGGTGGGTGCCTGATGGACACCAGAGAGTCCAGCCATGTGACTAGAGGGCTGGGCCGATCTCCAGGGTCCGGAGGGAGATAGGACAGCAGCCCCCTGGGGTTATGTCCACATAATGAAACCCCAGGAGAACCCTGGGCACTGAAGTCCCCAGGGAGGTGCCCGGGCTGGCAGTCCTCCCTGTGCATGTTGTCACACATCAGTGCCGGGAGAGGAAGGCGTCCCTCGGGCACAGAAGCTTCACCGTTGGAATCTCCCATCCCTAGATCCCGCACTGCGCGTCTCTGCCTCTGCCTGGCTCGGATTTGCATCCTTTTGCTACAACAAAATTTACTGTCATGTGCAGCAGCCTCCTGAGTCTGTGAGTTGTTCTATAAAGTGCTGAACCTGGAAGAGTCTCAGGGGTTCACCTATCTTGGTCTGAGGAGAGGGTGCTTCTGGTGACCCTCATCTTGTGGCGGGTAGGAGTCCGAGGTGGCCGTCTGAAGGACTGTGCTCTTAGCTGAATCTGGCCAACTCCTGGTAGGGGAGGTGCTTAAAAGGGAAGGAGGGCCAAGGGAGGGAGACCAAGCCTGATGAACCCAGGCTAAGGAGCCCGTGAGAGGCTAAGGAGGACCAAACGAGGACAGCCAGTGAGGAGGTGGCAAGAGGAAGAGGAGGTGGCAGGAGGAAGCTGCCTGGGAATACACTGAGGGCTGGAGGAGAACAGGTGAGGGAGGTTGTCCTGGGCAGGCTGGGACTTGGGTGGGCTGGCTTCCAAAACATTCCACCACATCGGACAGAGGGAGTGACACCAAAACCACTGTCATGGGTTACTCTCCGTCTCCGGAACCTTGTGGGGGAGATTTCCCACCATCTTTTTTTTATTCATTCTAACTGACCATCCATTTGTTTAAGTAATTTTTAAAGTAATCACCACCACGAATGGAGCCATTTATGGCACCTCTGGCCTCATGGGAAGGAGCTCCAAGTGAAAACTGCAGTTGGGACTCATCTGAGGAAATGTGGACAGCATCCCACAGGGACAGGGCAGGAGGGATGAGAACAACACAGTGCACAGACTCATGTGGAGGCAGATAAGGGTAGAGATAAGTGACCAGAGTCGAGGTGGGCAGAGAGGAGGCAGAACAAGGAGGCTGTGGCCGCCATGTATGATTATATAGGAGAAGACAATGCGAATCAGTAATCCACTTCAGACTTCAGTATCTGAGGCTAGAAAGGGCTCTGCTGTCCTTGAGGGGCACTGATGGGACAGAGGAGAGTAAATGTGGTGGACTCCCAGGGGACCTCAGCACCAGGTAGGCCCTTCTGTTCCACTAGACCCCCCACTCTTTCAGACAGGGCAGTACTTGGCCAGAATCCTAAAATACCCCCAGATGGGTTGGTAAACAGCTGCTCTGATCCTCTCAGATAGTCCTCCTTCCCTGGGACCTTCCAAGACTCAGGGGCAACAGAGCTGAGGCCAGCAGGGTCCCAGAGCCTCCTAGCTCAGTGCCTGTGTCCAGGGTCAGTGCCCACACCCCAGTGACTGTTAGGACAAGATCACATTCCCATAATCTGTCAAAATGGGAAGCCTTCTAAGATACCTCCTCCTCGTCGTCCTGAGCCTCCTGGGCACCCGCAGAAGTCTTCTGGCCAGCAGGACTGGAGTTGCCACCTTCAATGTCCTCTGTGGCATTTTCTTGTATCATTAATGACTGCAGCTATCAGCAAGCAAGGAAACAAAGAGAGTTCTAAACACACCCTTAGAATCATAACAGTACTGCATAAAATAAAGGCTCCCGTTGAAAGTCAGCTGTGTATCTGATACTGATCTAAACTCTGTATTATCCTGCTAACCCTCCAAAAGGATTTCATATAAGCATAATTATCACCCTATTTCACAAAGAAGCAAACTAGCACAGAAAGGTTAAGAAAGGTACCCAAGATCACACCGTTAGTAATGCTAGTCAGTGAGAATCAGTATCAAACCCAGGCCGTCCGAAGCCAGAGAATATGATTTCCTCCATAGCCACACTGTGCACAGTCTTTACAGAAAAGTGATTTGTGTGCAAAAGAACCTTCCTACTGTTAAAACACACCCGATAGATCAATTGTAACTTTGGGTTACAATTGTTGGGTCAAACCAACAAACTCTTAAATAAAATATGTTTGGCCTCCTAGTTTGATAAATAAATCCTCATAAGAACTTGGATGATCAGCGTGGAACTCTGAATTTGTATATCATGCAACCTCCCTTCACCACCTTAGTCTCTTCCCAATTAACCAAATAACAAACAAGTGTTCTTTTCTCAGTCTTTCTCTCTATCCATAGCCCTCATGAATTATATTTGAGGTCAATATCCAACACAGATTTTAGAAAAGTAGGATTTAATATGAATATATCTACAGCCACTTGGGGCAATGTGATCTTAGCACATTCCACTTGAGCCTCTACTCTAATGGAGAAAGCAGAGAATAATCTCAAACAGCACAAGTGTGTCAGAGCTAGACTCTGATGTCCCCTGGGAAGGGTTAATCTTCCTAAATCCTATTTGCTTCAGGTGGATATTAATCTTTTTCATTCCCTGGGTAAATCTGAAGCTCAGGAGCCATTTAGACAAAAGGAGGAAGTAGGCAGAAATGGTATTGGCACAGAAGGAAAATCACCAATTAATAAGACTGACTTTTTTGAATTTCCTTACTTCTAGTTCCCTGACACAATCTGCAACAGAATGTGGTAAAATCTTTCTATATATTTGTAGCAGGGATTGAATCCAGGGTGCTCTACCTCTGAGCTACATTCCCAGCCTTTTAAAAATTTGAGACAGGGTCTCCCTAAATTGCTTAGGACCTTGCTAAATTGCTGAGATGGACCTTAAACTTGCAATCCTCCTGCCTCAGCCTCCTGAGTCTCTGGGATTACAGGCATGTACCACCATGCCCAGGTTACTATTCATTTCAAAAGTAAAACTATAGTAAATTTCTCCTGTGTTCAACTATTAAGACAACAAAGTTCAGTATCTTAAAATCATTAATTACCGCTAGATAGCACACCTACTCCGTGAGCAAAGTTTTCAGGAACAAAGATTTAACGTGTTTGGAAATAAGAGGATTAAAAGGCAGGGGACAAAGAGGGCCCAGGTGTGTCTCTCCTGAAGGAAGCATGTCCCTGGACAACACCCACATCCCTCAGGCCACAGAACCCCAGGCTTCTCTCTCAACCCTAGACTTCCACTTCCAAGAAGCCACACTGCAACCACAGTGGGTGAGTGAACCCAACCCTTACCTGGGCCCTCCGATGGTTGGCTCTGAGAATGAACGGCTTTATCAGAAGCATCCAAGGCACAGAAATCAACGCCATGATGACGAGGAAGGTTTGGACTTCTCGCTGCAAGACCAAAATGATGAGACCCTCTCATTTTAAAGTAACCACAGACCGACTTCACACGATCACAATGGTCCACATGGGTCATTTCAGGAGCACTTTAGAGATCTAAAGAATTTCATGTCTATTCAACTTCATATCTGGAATATTCCTGTTGCAGATAGAGAAATGTCAGTGCTGTGGTGCCCGCGACCTGGGGTAGGGAGGAAGCTGGATCTGCTTTACCCTCTATGTAGCCCTTATCCACACTCACACCACACGTCACCAGCCTTTAAAACAAGAAGTGCTGTGAGACCCCTCACAGAGGCAGCTCTGTTTTCTTCTCCTGATGCTTTAACCTGTTCCCTGGACTGAGATGAAAACTGCAAGTCCCATGACCCACCGGTCACTCCATATTAACCAAGTCCTTTCATTCACATTGTTTCAATCAGTGATTTTATATTTTCAGTGCTAGAAAATGATCCAAGGTTTCTTGCTCCTTCTCTTAATAAAGAATACAAAAGCTCCCCACAACCTCCACCTGCCTTTCTTCCTCACAGTAGGCCAGTTCCCCGGGGGCAGGACACCCACTGCGTCCTCGTGGTGGTTTCCCACAGCTCACTTTGGAGCCAGGCTTCCGTGGTCCTCTGGCCTCTGCTGAGTCCCAGGAGAGATCCCTTCTATCGTCCTGCTGCATTTTTTGGGGTTTGGTTTGGGGTTTGGTTCCAGGAATTGAACCCAGGGGCGTTTAACCACTGAGCCACATCCCCAGCCCTTTTTCTATTTAGAGACAGGGTCTTGCTAAGTTACTTAGATCCTCACTAAATTGCTGAGGCTGGCATTGAACTCGTGATCCTCCTGCCTCAGCCTCCTGAGCCACTGGGGTTACAGTGCACCACCACGGGCCGGCTGCTGCCTATTTCCTTTCCTATCCTCCCGTCCCCACCTCTTTCTTCACACACACTCCAGATCCCAGTTGTGAGGACTGACAAAAGAACCAGGTGTCCCCAGGGCTGGGTCAGGGATGCTGAAAGGGTCTGGAATGAAGTGAAGGAAAAGAAAAAGCATTTTCCTGAGCCTTCATGCTGCTTCTGCTGTTTTGACCGCCCGCAGTGCAGGCTGGGAGACAACTGATGCATTACCCCAGTGCTAACGAGACTGACCTGGACAACCGTGGAACACCATCTGTTCAATCTTCCATCTCGCACCGTTTTAAATGCTCAAAAGAGGAGGATCAGCTTCGGGCCTGCCCAGCCTACCTCCTGCACCCAAAGCTGCCCATTGCCATGTGTCCCTGTTTGTAACAAGGCTTTTCCCCTGATGACGCAAAAAGCACCTGGCTAGGTATACGCAGGAGCGTCGCTGTCCCTGCTTAACATCCAAAGACAGGCAGGGCAAGGACATGGAGCTGCATGACCCCAAAATGAGGTTACAGAAACTTTGAACTGTATGGAGATGATGAATCTTAGTCCTCGGGCGAGGGGAAGACAGCCTAGTAGTCCCAGTAATGTTTTTGAGACCAAAAAAGTTGGGAAGGCAGCCAGGCATGGTGGTGCACGCCTGTAATCTCAGCGGCTCAGGAGGCTGAGGTAGGAGGATGGCGAGTTCAAAGGCAGCCACAGCAAAAGTGAGGCACTAAGCAACTCAGTGAGACCCTGTCTCTAAATAAAATACAAAGTAGGGCTGGGATGTGGCTCAGAGGTTCAGTGCCCAAGTTCAATTCCCAGTACCAAAAAAAAAAATGTTGGAAAAGCCACCACTGTGCAGTACAGGGAACACATTAGGCTAAGGGAGGATCCTGGGCTTCATGAAAGCAGTTAACACGTGAAATGTTTGGCCACTCTCATTTTCTGCCTGAAAGAGACTAGTCTGGGAAATCCAGGTAAACTTCCATTTTTACTCCAATCCTGAGCAAATGATCCTTCGAAGAACACTTATGCACGCCAGCACTCTGGGGGGGCTCAAGGCTACCACTGTGTTCAACACAGCCAACTGCGGTACAGCAACGGGGCTGTCAGAGCAAACTTCTTCATAGATTTCATAAAATCATTCCTCACAAAAACCCATCATGAGGCATTTCTCTTCTTATTTGATGCCTCTGGGGAGGAGGAGAACAGCCAGGAATCAACTCATGTGCGTGGCCAGGGAGGAGCGTGAAGTCACATCTAACCAGGACACCCAGCAGAGCAACCTCTGGAGGACTCTACCCCAAAGCTCCACCCAGAGGGATTGGCAAAGAAGCGGGTCCTCCTTTGGTGAAAACCTGCGGGCGCGCTCTACTACTGCGTTAATCACTGGGAGAAGCCAGGGAAAAAGAACTATTTGTGTTATTAAATAACTACTGTGTTCTTTTTATGTCTGGGTCTGATGGATGGGACATTTATACTTTTTTCAAAATAAAATACACATGACCCTCTCTATCTGCAAGTGCCATATCCACAGACTCACCAACGACAGATCAAAAATATTTTTAAAAGAACATATATAGACTTTCCTCTCCTTGTCATTATTCCCTAAACAAAATAGTATAACAACTATCTACACAGCATTTATATTGCATCAGGTACTATAAGTAATCAAGAGATGTTTAAAATATGCAGCAGGAGGTCTGTAGGCTATGTGTGGCTACCACACCTTGTTACAGAAGGGACTTGAGCACCCATGAATTTGATATCCACAGGGGGTGAGGGGTCCTGGAATCAGCCCCCCATGAACACAGAGGGACGGACGGCTGTATTAAGCTGATTAAGAGTCTAAAAGAAACAGGAGACGTCAGAGTAGCAATAAAATCCAACTGTTGGAACATGCTGTCCATGAAAGAAAAGCAGAAAAGTGAAGGAAAAAAAAAATCTCTAGCTGCCGTGGAACTGAGAACAACAACGAGGCAGGTTTATAGCTTCCCAGAAACTGAGGACCAGTGTGAACAAAGGAACAACTCTCCTCCTCCTCCTCCTCCTCCTCCTCCTCCTCCTCCTCTCCCCCCACTCCTCCACTCCTCCACTCCTCCTCCTCCTTCTCACCCTCCTCCTCCTCCTCCCCTCCTCCTCCCCCTCCTCTCCACCCACCCCTCCACTCCTCTCCTCTCCTCCTCCTCCTCCTCCTCCTCCTCCTCCTCCTCCTCCTCCTCTTTCTTTGCCTCTTCCCCTTCCCCCTCCCTCTCCCTCTCCTTCCTGCAGTTCTGGAGATTGAACCCAGGCCTTGCAAGGGCTCTATAGAACTTCCCTTCTTGATTCTATTCTTGTGAACCTTAGCTAGAGTTTGCTTTTTAGATACAAGATTATTAAACTTTAAGGTGCTCTCTTGAGCATTTTATTGTTTGAAGCAGGCTGATTATTTTCTTTCTTTTTTTTTTTCACACTCAGTTTTCCACCCTCAGCAATAACCCCTTTCGCCTATTACCCCAACAGGAAGGACTGGGGCCACACAAACTCTCAGCGCCTGTACGCTCCTGTAATATGAACCTTTTGAAAGTTAAGCTTACCTTCTTCCCTGGTGCTAAGGCAGTCTTGTAAATAACTGCTCCCTGCCATACTCAAAGACTATGAGAGAGATTTGACATGATCAAGCAGATGAAAGAAGGATTCTTGAAAAACAGAAGTACCTGATGACTGTACAGGGGCGCGTTGGAAGGGTCATCGTAGTCGAACAGGAACATGTTGATAAAGTGGATGAGGATGCTGGGGGCATGCTGGGACACATGGGCATCGTACTGGCACCATTTGAAAATGATCATGAAAAGCAGATACCCGAACAGGCACAGGATAAAGATCAGCTCAGGGATGAACTGCAGAATGATGTTGACAGTGTTCTTGAAGTATCTGGGGGTCGAGAACAGACACACGAGAAAGAACATCGAAGGCACATTCTCGCTGCAGTATACTCCCCAAAGACAAGATGTCCGTTTGTTTTTTGAACACGGCTGGCAAACCGCCACACTCCCCAGGCGAGCAGCACTCATGGGTGCACAGAAAAGAGGAGCAAGGAAATATGGGAAGTGCTTTTGCACAAAAGACTCAGAGATAACCCAGGTCTAGAAGGCAATGTATAAAGCAAAGGTCATGCTTTAGATTGACCTTTGAGAGTCATGAAGAGAGGGGTGATTTGGCCACAGCTTCCCATGCGGACCCGGCTCGTATGAACACACTTGAAGGCAGAAGGATAGAATAATCGGGATTTGGAAGCTTTTTTCCCACGAATGCTCTGACAAGTCAGCAAAAAATGGCCCATGGGTCATATCAAGTCCTTCACTTGTTTTTATACAGCTCAGAAGTTAAGTTTTTGCTGTTGTTTTTACATTTTTTAATGGTAGGAGGAGACAAACAAAAGAAGAAGAATATGTTATGTTATTATATGAAACTCAAACCTTGGAGTGCACATAAGTTTTATGGGGAACATAACTACAAGCATTCCTTTAGGTCACATCTATGGCTGCTCTCGTGCCACCAACCCAGAAGGAAGAAGTTGCAACTGAGATTGTACGGCCTGGAAAGGCTGAAATATTCACTCTCTGGCCCTCTACAAAGAAAGTTTGCCAGTCCCTGTTCTAAGAGAGAGTCCTGCAAGGCTAAGAGGGGGCTCCCAAGAGAGGTCAGAAAGGGCCTTTGAACACCTGTGGTGGGCCACACGCACAGCACTGTCAGCTGACAACAGTAACAGGGTGCTGGTTAATTTGCTCACTGAATATTTCTGTGACTTCAAGTCAGATGCCATGTCTGCAAGAGGTACACGGAACAGGTACATTTGAAGTTATGTTCCAACATTTATACTTTCAGCACAAATAAGTTGAAGAAGCTTTCCAGTGATGGATCTTGAGAGAAATAGAAAGAAATAGATGGACCAACATGAACACAGAAAGGGCAGAGAGGCTTCCAGAGTACAGAATTCAAGAGCACCTTGGCCAGAAGGCCCCCCTGGCCCACTGGGTGGGAGCTAAGCCTGACTAGCACCAGCCTGGACCTCTCAGGTTAGGGGATACAGGTGTGCATGCTTCTCAGCCTCTTGCTGAGCTTTTAGTTATTTCTGAAGTGGCGGGGTGGGGGGTGCTCAATTTCAACAGACTTTGCTCAGCACAAACAGGTGCCGCTGTTTCCAGCCACCCCGCTCGCCCCTGCCTGGCAAGACACACCGGGAAGCATGGTCCACAGGAAGGAGGCTTATACCCAGGGGTGCAGGGCCAAGCTGGTGGCCCCACCTCCCCACATCATCAGTGTGATCAGAGGGTGAATCAGGAAACTCACATGTGATTGAAGAGGCTGAGAATAACACCAAAAACCATCTGGACAATTCCCAGGATGACCGACATCTTCATTTTATAAGAGTTCAAAAATGTGAGCTTGTTGGAGGCCAGGTTCCAAATCTGGAACAAGAAATGTGGCAAGAAACACGTGAGAGAGAGTCTAGAAGTTCTACTGGAGCTGGGGCTACAACGAGATTCTCCCAGGAGTTGTTCTGAGAACTCATGCTTTTAGGCTCCGGAAAGTGAAAGGACCGAGCCCATTATCAACGCAACTAGGTGACCACAGTACCAAAATCATCAGCGCCATTAATAAAATATCAAGTTGCTGATAGCAAAAAAGGGAGAAGAATCCTATATGACTTTTCCCCTGTCCTAAATGAAAAGATTAACTGAAACACTAAGGAGAGGTCTCAAACTTGCCTCAGTTCCCTTAATAATAGCTTGTAGATCCCTGGCCCAGGATGTATTCAATATCCACTTCTTGTGAGTGTGAGTGTGAGTGTGAGTGTGTGGTCCTGGGGATTGAACCCAGGGGTGCTCTACCACTGAGCTGCATCTCCAGCCCTTTTTATTTTGAGATAGGGTCTTGCTAAATTGCTAAGGTTGGCCTCAAATTTGTGATCTTCCTGATTCCACCTTCTGGGTAGCTGGGATTATGGGTGTGCATCATCATTACTTTGAATTTCTATAGCACTTTCTATTACAAAGCATTTTTTCCCAGGCCCTTCTCAAGGAGCCACTCCTACAGCCAATCTTTACGAGCACTATGGGTAAGACATGATTCCTACCTTCTCCACCTGTCCAGGCTTGCAAGGTGGGGGACATGTGTACCCACCCAGCCCAAAATAAAACTGATAAACAAGACAAGTACCCAGAGCAGTTGGGGGGCTAGTTAGGGTCTCACAGTGGTTATAATGATCCTCAACGCTTAAATTCCTCTTTCTCACAGAAACCTCAACTCTCCTGTGGTCTCCACTCCTACCCCTATGCAAAAGACTCCAAGACCTTGCTCCTGCCCTTGACCCCACTTTGGCACATCCCAAACCTCTACTAGACTCAGCCTCAGGGTTTGCAATGCTGTATCTCAAAAGTAACAAAATCACAGGGCCTCTCACCTTCCCCTCTGAACAACTTTCTCCTCCAAAATATTCTGCTTCTGTTTAGGGCCAACATCCAAGTAGACAAAGCCTCAATATGAATCCATCTTGCCTCCTCTAACATACAGGCATATACACATATGCACACATGTACACATGCATGTGCATGCATGCACACACGTGTACACACACACACACACACACACAGCAGGACCTTCATACCACTGATTCTTTCTTTGCAACATCCTGAGCCAGCTGGACAACCACCAAGAAGCTGGTAAGGATGGACGCAGAAGGGACCCTCTAACAGGGGTCTTCTCTAGCCTCGTCATCTGTCCTGGCATCTGAGCTGTGCCAGGTCTGCCCTCTGCCCACTGCCTTTCCTTCACCCACCTGGTTGGCCCATTCCTACAGTATCACTCAGCATGGGGGTGGGAGTTACCAGCACACTGGAGATTCTGCCAAATCTGATAAGATGCTCATAGTACTAAGTACCAAGCACACACAAAGCCCTTTAGATGAATTCACCACATTGAGTTCTAACAAATGATCTATGGGATGGATATACACAATCTCAGGAAGATTAAGTTACTTATATACCTCAAAAAAATATACAACAGCAACTCACATTAAGGAGCATTTGCCATGTTTATGTACCAGATGCTCTGGGGGTTTTATCTGTAAAAACCCTATCACCTGCTGAGCAGTCCTAGGAGTTAGGGCTGTTATTATATCTACTTCACAGGTGAGGAAACCGATACAGAGATGATAACTTGCTCAAAACCACAAGCAAGTAAAGGGAGAAGCCATGATTTCAACCCATGCACTTTGATTCCAGAGCATGGGATTTTAACCACTGTGTGTCCATGATAAGCAAATACTTAGAAACATTTTCAGGCCTCTCAGTTATAATAAAGGCCAAATATTTTGTGATTTGATTCACAAAGAGATGCTGACACAGTTAGTAAATGTACCATGGAAATTTATATCATGCAAAAAAGAATCCTTCATTAATTTGTAACACAAGTATTGACAGAGGCACAGATTATTTTGTTACCTCTGAGACACAGGATTGCAGGAACAGGAGAAGAAGAAAATCAGCTTCTGATTTTCTTTATAATATTTTGTACTATATAGATTTTTTATAAGTATATGTTATTTTATTTTTTAAATTAAAAAAATTGTTTGTATGCACTGGGGATTAAATCCAGGGGCATTCTACCATTAAGTTATATCCCCAACCCTTTTTATTGTATTTCAAAAAATGGTTTGTTAAGTTTCCCAGGCTAACCTCAAACTTGTGACCCTCCTGCCTCAGCTCCCAAGTCACTGGGATAGAGGAGTGAGCCAGTATGTATTATTTTATGATAAAATGATCAAAATTTTTCTTTTTTCTTTTCTAGTGATGCTAGGGACTGACCCCAAGGCCTCATGCATATTAGGCAAGTACTCTACCACTGAGCTACATCCCCAACCCAAGACTCCAAATTCTCAAAATTCTAAATGTTACTAGGAAAAATTTTTGATCATTTTCAATGTCCCACTTTCTCTTTTACCCTCTTCTCTTCCTTTATCTTTTTTTGTTTGTTTGTTTGTTTGTTTGTTCTTCCTTTTCTAACAACACATAGCCCCACTCTGTCTGAGGAGCAAGTTGAGCAGACAGGATTTGCTACAAATGAGACGTGGGCTGGGAAGGATGATAGAAACAATGAGATCCAAGCAAATGAGGATCCAGAGGAGGAGACCACGGTTTCCTCCTGCTCTAGGCTCCTCCTCAGCCTGCTTATTGATAGGGACATTCCTTTGACCACAAATAAAGCCTTCCAGTTTAGAAAAATGAAAACCCAAATTGACTTCTAACACTTTGCAGGTTACCAACCAGTGTTCAGGGATTTTACTCCTGATAAAACTGAGAATGCTAGCGCTTCTGAGTGGCAAATATAGAGCAATGTTTCTGTTTTTCTAAGGGTAGGCAGGTGGGAAGATAGTGGGAAAGCCTGGGAACAATGAAAAGACTACCCCAGATGGAAGAGATTAGAGAGCCATTTTTATAGGGCATTTGTTTACTTTCGACTGTTGGCAATCAAAACTGAGGTCTCAGGTTCTCTCCCAGAGAGAACTGAGAAGCATTTGCCAAGTTCAAGTCTACACTTCTCCTATTTGGAGCACAAGGCTGCCACCTGGTGGCAGTGTGCGCTGGACCCTAGAGCTTGGCTTTGTATGAACAGGCATGTGTATCAGCTAGTAACTCCTTTATATCTAAAGGCTATGCAAGGAAACACCTTTGTTTTGTTTGGCTCACATCTAGTTTGTTGAGAAATATATAACAAACAAATAAAAGGAAGTGTATACCTTTATAAAAAAAACTTGTATCAATCATATGCAGTAAAAAAAAAAAAAAGCAAATCCATATTTTCTAGGAAAAAGAAAGATGTTACCCATTGCAAGAAAATGCAAAGCAGGAAACTTGACTAGGAAGCCAAACCATTTATCTCACTTATCTAATAGGCATAGTTTCCAGGCAACCAAGGGCTTTTTAAGGAGTCTATCATTTTGTGTGTGTGGAATAAATGATGGAGAAAGAAGCGATGTTCAGGAACTGTGTGGAAAATGACCCAGGGGCTGGGAAGAGGTACAGCTAGGGCACTGGCTTGAATCCAGCTCTGTGTGTCCCCTCCAGCATGGGGGCTGGGGTGCAGGGCAGTGGTAGAGTATTGGCCTAGCATGCGTAAAGCCCTGGGTTCCATCCCCTGCGCTGCAAAGACAAAACAAAATAAAACAGGACAACCTCAAAGCAGAATATTCTATCTCAACATGAGTCTGCTAGTTTGACAGGGTCTGATGCCTTCTTTCCCTCTATTCAGACAGCTTCTCAACAACACATTGTGCATCATAAATATGTTACCCAAGATGACGTCATTACCGGATCAATCCCAAATGGGTATGGATTTCCAGAATACACTCCTGGCGTGGCTGGATCCAGCTGTAAATATTCATTTCCCTTCATTACTTGAGTGCTACAGAGAAAGGGGAAAAACATTAAAAAAAAAATCAACCAGAAATGGAAAAAAATACGATAGCCCCATCAGTCATGAACTTCCAGGTCAACCAAAGCCCAGCTGTTGGTAGGAGTCGTCAGTTTTGTTCATTGAATCACTTCAGGCATGGGTATGGAACACCTGCTATGTGCCAAGCCTGTCCAAGGAGCCAAGGCTACGGAAGTCACCTTCTGCCCCCCAAGGAGCTCACCATCCAAGTTTCCAAAGAACTGATCGGGGTATAGTAAAAAAGAGAGAGAGAGAGAGAGAAAGAAAGAAAGAAAATGAAAATGTGAGGCACACACCTGTAATCCCAGCAGCTCAGGAGGCTGAGGCAGGAGAATCGTGAGTTCAAAGCCAGCCTCAGCAATTTAGCAAGGCCCTAAGCAACTCGGCAAAACCCTGTCTCTAAATAAAATACAAAAAAGGGCTGAGGATGGCTCAGTGGGTAAGTGCCCCAGGGTTCAAAACAAAACAGAAATTAAAACTGTAGGGAATCAAAAAAGAGGGGCAATTAAAAAAAATAAAAGAGAGAGGGGAAGGGATGTTGGGAGCTTATAGGAGAGAAAGTCTCCCCAGGGGACAGCTGGGCTGATCATGAAGGATGAATGGACTTCTCACACACAGATTTCCACCTCTGTGACCTCAGCCCTAAATGTATTGAGCCTAGTGAATGTCTTTAAACCTGTGTCCCATCTTCGCCCAGATCATAAAATGCAACAGGATTGTAACCCTTCAGTAAGACTCCAGGGGACATGACCATTAGAGGTTAACTCTATAAGAGCGCGCCTCTGTGGAAGGGCCCTTAGGAATGAGTATTTGAAATAATGAACTCCACAGGCTGCTCAGAAATAAATTCCCTCCCTTATGCAACAAAACACTGGGGGTCTTAACCTAGGTATGGTAACACACACCTGGAATCCCAGTGACTCTAGAGGCTGAGTCAGGAGGATCACAAACGTGAGGCCAGCCTCAGCAACTTAGACCCTCAGCAATTTAGCAAAACCCTGTCTCAAATTTTTTTAAAAAAAGAAAAATTTAAACTAGAAATGTAGCTTAGAGGTAAAGCACCCCTGGGTTCAATTCCTAGTACCAAAAAAATAAAAAATAAGGTGCTAGGTGTCTTCAATAACATCTGGGGTATCAGAACACCTCACCATGCTGCCCAGGCCCTTGATACACAGTCAAAGCAGCTGGCCCTGCTGAACTGTTCTGGACACAGCTACCCCTGACAGGAGGGAACTGCCCAGGCACTCAGCTAAGCCATAGTGTCTCCTGCTGAACATACACAACTTCACAGCCTCAGACCAGGCCACCTGTGACTATGATGGAGTTAGATAAAAACAAGTCAGACCCGCACACAGGCAAGAAGGACCTCGTCAAACCACAAGATGACCAGATGGCCCCACATCCTACCCTGGGCCAGATCCTCTCAGTCCTTCTAACCCCTCTTCCTGAAATACCCCAGACTCCCAGGGTACACCCAACTCAATGACCACGGCATGCTCCTGGCCTCAGGTCTTCAGCTGAGGGACTCGGTCAACTACAAGGAAGCAGGCCCAAGACCCAGGCTGTGGCTAGGGACCAAAATCAGCTTGCTTGAGTACTTCAGTTTTGATGGATGACTGCAATGTCCTTCTGCCTACCTGACAGTGAGGTTCTGCTTTTTACTATCAACGACACTTGGGCATGTGGCTGAGTGTCTCTCAGGCCAGGCTCCAGAGTCACTGAAGAGTCACTTGAATTGGGAAGAGGTCATTTGCACATGGGTAAGAGAGCCACAGTCCTACCTGCATCTACAGAGTGACACCAGCCAGTTAAAAAGGACCTTTCACAATCATAATCTGGGGGAAATGAAATTTCATGTTGGAAATTTGGTGAGATTATGTGGATTTAATACATTTCAAAATTCCTCTCTCTGTTTACAAGTTCTCCTAGGCATCTCCTCAGGATATTAATCATGATTTTAAAAAAATACAGACTTAGCTATCTGTATTCAATTTTATCCTTCATTTTTCTTTATCTTAATATTCCCATTCTTTCCTATAGGAAGTTAGGTCCATCAGAGAAACTAAAAGGGATGCTTTAGAACCCCCTGAATTTCCTTAAATAGAAATATTATAATCATCCCAGGCTTGGAGAGGCAGGACAATGTGCACCTCTGTCTTCACTTCTAGTCCTTCCTGTCAACTGGAAGTTCCAGAACCAGACAAGGAAACCTTACACTGAGTCAAAGAAGCCGGACAGACTGATGTTAGGAAAACGTCACCTATGATTTGTAGTTTTGCAAATCAGCCATGAATTACTGAGAGTGTCTCAGCCATGTGATTCATGCCACGTAGATTCCCTAAAGAGCTTGCGACTGGGGAGGCTGAGGAGGCTGAGGCAGGAGGTTCAAGGCCAGCTTAAGGCCAGCCTCAGCAACTTAGCAAGGTCCTACCTCAAAATAAAACTGAAACAGGGCTGGGGATGTAGCTCAGTGTAAAGTGCCCCTCGGTTCCAGTACGGTGGGTGGGTGGGGCCTAAGAATCACGAGGTTGTCAGCATTTCTGATTGACATTTCTGATTGCAGTCCACTACCCTCCAGGGCTCTTCTGTTTTCTCCCAGTTCCTCAAACTGACCTCTCTCTCAAACTCTAAAATCTTTCTCCCTCCCCATTAGGAGTCCACATTCCTGAAGTGTTGTGTTTCCAGTCTGGTGACCGTTCATCTGATTAGCTGCTAAAACAACCGTGGGGTGCATGTGAGAGGTGCAGGCTGTTGGGATCCAGAGGGCTTCCAGGTCCCACTTTCCTGCAGCCCCCAGACCTCATTAGCTGCCCTCACCCCCCAACACCCATTCCCTCCCCACTCTGTCAGACACAGGCAAATACAGGAAGCTGGCATTGCAAAACTCACGTCTCCCTCTTTGCTTTTAACATTGAAATCAAGCTGTCCTGAGTAGCCAAAGGAAATGCTCTGCTAGAGTATGGAGCCTTGAACACTGGAAATTGAGACCATAGTTCAACATCTGTCGGGGCTTTTCTTAAAGCAAAGTCTTCATTCCAAAATGCCTAAGTTGCTGAGGCTGGCCTTCCACTCTACCTCCAGCCTCTACCATGGCACAGTATGCTTCAAATGCCACCATCTTTTCCAGGAAGGCTTTCTTCTATGATCCCTACCACTCGTTTTCCCAATTGCACCTGGAACATGGTTCTGGAATCATAAAAGATATTTCTGTGCATACAGTTACTAGCATAGTTACTGAAGAAGTGGTTCAGGTTTTGTACCCAAAACTAAATTATGGACTGAATTTGGAGGTGTGCCCTTAAGCAGTGCCAGTTAAGAACTTTCTGGACCATGAGGACAGCTGCTGGGGCTATCCGGATGACCAATGAGTGAGCCATCTTGTTCTACAAACTTACTTCCATGTGCCATTTCTGAACATGGGCTGGACACTCCAGGAGGAGCCGAAGATGTTGAAAGACTTGGAGAAGCAGTCATTGTAGATCAAGCCCGTGTAGATGGAGAAGATGCCCATGAGTAGGATCAGATAGCGCCCGTTGAAGAAGGTGTTCCAGATCTGGCCCCAGAGAGACAGAAAGAACATTTATCAGTGGACTCCACTGCAGATCTCAGAGAGGAGAGTGTTATCAGAAGTCTCCAGCATCACTAGTCTGGGGGTCCCATGGAGGGGACCATGTGACCAAGGCAGACACAAATAATCCAATGAGGAAGAGCACACATGCCCTGGTTTTCCTGAACTTACATGGATGGATCAGAAAGTCCTAGGCTTGGGGATGTGGTAGAGCTTTGGTCTAGCATGTGCAAGGCCTGAGTTCCATCCCCAGCACTGCAGACATGAAGGAAAGAAGTTTCTAGACTGGTATTTTTTAACATGGAAACAAAAATATACAAGCTTCATACTCTTTCTTCCAGTGTCCACTTAGAAAGTGAACTGAAGCACAAGCCGAGGCCTCAACTCTAAGGAAGGGACTTGAAACTGGCTGTTGCCTCGGGTCCTTATAGAACACAGCACTGAGCTGGCCTCTGAGGGCTGCCTGTTCATGGCAAGTCAAATCTACACTCATCTGGGGTCTTGTGTCATGAGGCTGTCTAACTCACTGTGAAGAGGAGAGCCCTTTCCCGTAGCACTGCTTGAAGTGTGTCGCTCATTCCAAGAAGTACCGAAGTGTAACACTGCAACTTGAGTTGTTTACTGTAGAAAATGACATCTGTTAAGCTGGTCATGGAAAACTGTTGGTCACAGGTTGACCTTGCCCACTGACCTTGCTTATGATTAACTCATAATGACCTCCCTCACCAGCTAGCTTTAATTGACTCAACCCATGATAAGAGTTTGCAGCTATTTTCATAATTCGGCTTGGTCAGATGTATCTCCATGAACACAAAGCCATTTACTGGTTAGCTGATAAACTTTGAACCAGTGCAGCCCCTGAGTTGCTTCAATCTTTGGAACACTGTAAAGGGACCTTGTAGGAAGCACAGAAACCTCAAACATGAATGAAGCCAAGCCTCAGTATTCAGGATTTCTCAGGGTCTCCTAAGAGTTCTGGCCACAGGCTTATAGAAAAAGGGTCTTCCATGAACAGATGCTTATGATATTTTATGTTAGAAAAAGAAGTTACAAATTATATGCACTTCTTGATGCTAATTTTTGAAAATCATATATTTGTGGATAATTACACACACAAAAGATGGAAAGACAGCCAAAAACATAGATTGTGATTTTTCTGAAGGTGGTTAGATTGTTGTATTTTCCTAGTTTTTACATAAATATGTAATGATTTTATAATCAGAGAAAAGAAAATAATGCTAGAAAAAAAATTGAAGGGGGCTGGGGCTAAAGCTCAGTGATAAAAAGCTTTCCTAGTGTCAAACTATGGAAAAAAAAATACTGAATGAGCTACACCAAATCATCCAAAGGATTGTTCTTTGCAAGGAGTTTTATGTTGATTTTTTCCTTATTTTATCTTTGCCTCTCTTCCTTATTTTTAATGAGCACATGTTATTCCTAAGGTGGGAACATGTTTTAACACTGCCTTGAGGAGACAGGTGAGACACCTGCTGGGCAGACACCCACCTCGTTGCTGCTCTTCTGGGACAGCAAGCGCTGCTCGTTGAGGACCATCCAGAGGGCTGCCAGCAGCATCACAATCCCATGCCCACAGTCTCCAAACATCACAGCGAACAGGAAGGGGAATGTGATGATGGTGTAGGGGGCTGCAGGGGGTGGGGGTGAGACCACAAGAGCCTGAGGCCTCTGATTGTCCTTTGGGCCCCTCCAAGCAAAGAGTTCTCCACACTCCACATCCGGGTTTCCCCACGTCTTAGTGACGGTCTTCCCTCCCCATCCCCACCCACAACACTTGCTTGGCTCCCAAATGCACGAGCTCATCCATGATCAGGGATTCTTATTCCCCAATTTTCAGATGCACTGTCCTAGAGAGGTTAGGTGACCTGCCCAGGATCACAAAGTTTGAGGGGATTTAAAACCAGTTTTCCATCTCCTAAGAGTTCTGGCCACAGGCCAGAACTGTCAGAAGTGTCTTCTGTATTCTTTCCACCACCATCAGGGACTCTCAATCCATGAGGCCCTGTGCTATGGTCTGAGGCTGGAGAAAGGCAGCACCATGCCCTGTTTGCATTAAAGGCATCTGGTCTACCCCTCCATTCTACCAACCAGGCTGCAAAGATTCCACAGCATAGGGCATAAGAACCTCATCTACTTTGCACTCTCTCTTTCCTACATGATCACTAGAGATGACCCAGGTTGAACAGGTGAAGGAAACAGGAACTGAATTCAGTTGCCCAGTGAGGCTGCACTTCAAGGAGAACAGGTGCAGACAGACAACAAATCGCCAATTGGCACTTAGGGAAGACAAGACTGGGCATGAGGACACCACATAAGATTTTAGGGATGTCACAGTTTTAGCTGATTCTCCTCCTAGGTCCCCTGAGAAAGCATCTTAACCAATTTTAACTTTCAAGCTGTCCTGCTATGCAGCACATCTGGTCTTTACCTGGGTTTATCTCCCGGTAACTGCCCACACCATATGCATCGACAATGTTCTGGAAGCCAGCTGTGAATTTATTGGTCCTGTTAAAGGTGGGAGGGGCTGTTTTAGATTGCACTTCGGTCATGATGGGGACCATGGAGGAGCCACTTAGTTCCTGCAAAAAGAACATGTGACCCATGTGAGGAAGTGAGCCTGGGGCCAGGGCCAGCAGACCCCGTGTGACCCTGGGACACCTCTTGACCTCTCTGAGAATCATGACCTCATCTTCCCAATACTTACCTAATTCATTTTACACAGAGCTGTCTGGAGAGCAAAGTCCCACCTGAATCTCTGACGATCTCCATTCCCTCCTCCTGCTAACCAACGCCCACCTCGTGCCTCAGGTCCAGCTCTCTATGCTTCCCCTTCCCTTCACCTCCTCCCTCAAGAGCTCATCCACTTTGCTGAATGAACCCATCTCCTCCAAATGGCTCTAACCCTCCCCAAAATCTCAATTCTCTTCTAATGGCCTGCTTAGGCTTGCTAACTCCAATGTCTCCCCAACTTCACCAAATACAGGAGCATAAAACTGAACTCCTTCGCTTGTCCCAGGCTAGGTCCTCCTGCCCCTCTGCTCCTTCCTCAGAGCCTCCAGTCTCCCAGATTCCTGAAACTGTGCAATTGTGGGACTCGTCCCTTCTGATCCAATCGGCCAGTCCACTAATCAAAACTTGCTATTCCCCCCTTCACTACCCCTGCTCTCTGGCGTCTGCATCTTTTAAATGGCATTTGTCCTAATGCCCACCCTATAGCATTGTTAGAGGACTGAGGCTGGGAACTGAGCACTCACGTGTTAAGTCCCACTAAGTGGGCACATGGTAAGTGTCCTTGGGGCTTGGAGTGGTTGGAGTTCTCACAGCCAGTGTGTGTGTGTGTGTGGTGGGGGGTATTGTATTGTGACATTATCTGATTACAGTGCATATCATCAACTCCTGGATGGCAAGAACTGAAGCCTCCTTTTCCTGTTTTTTGTCTTTCTTCTTATACATACTCTCTGCAGCCGACCTGCTGCCTGGTGCAGGTGACAAATGTTTACTGATGACAGGATGGTACCGCCATGTGCTCTCCCTATACACTTTTCCTTCCGATCTTCTACCCACCTAAGGCCTTCCACTCCTGTCTCAGAGGACTGAAGAAACTGCGACCCAGCCCTAAGCTGGGTGCAGTGGTGCATGCCTGGGTCCCAGGTACTTGGGAAGCTACGAAGGATGACTTGAGCCCAGGGGTTTGCCAGACGGGGCAATGTGGCAAGACCCCATCTCAAGACCTCATCCATTCCTGCCCCACCTCCAAAAAAAGCCAGTCCTAAGAGGCCCTATAGGAAGGTTAACTCCTTCATATCAGAATGACTTTGTTCCATTCAGACCCCAACATTGGAACACCACATCCCTGGTGGCCCCACTGTCTTTGCACTGCAGTGAGGTGTTTCTAAAAGGCAAACTGGATCATGTCACTACAGCAGGAGAATAAAACCAGGCCCCTCGAATGGCTGTGAGGTCCTTGGGATCTGCCCTGAGCCTCTCCTGAGCCCCTGACCCCTCTTTAAACCTGCTGCAGCTGCCTCCAGGAGGCCTCCCCTGCTCCCCATCCCCCTGACCTGCTCTCTGACCTGTCCACCTTGGCCAGCTCATGCACCCCTTCCTCCAGGAAGCAGCCCCTGTCCATCCCACTGTGGGGAAATGCCATTTTCAAACTCTACCTGAGCAGTTTGGGGATTATGATGTGGAGACATAGTTGGGTTTGGGGTTAAAAGAAACACTCCTTACATCCAAATCCTGCCTTCCGGGTCTGGCTCTGTGAGCAAGTTACTACTAGGCTCTGTGCCTCTGTTTCCTCATCTGTGCAAAGGGGAAGAACACAGCTCCTACCTCCTCATCCATTCCCACCACAAATCCTTTACCTTTAGAGGTCTGGCCTGAAAGCTCTGCCTCCCACCTGCCCCTGTGGCATCTCGGGAAGTCTGCTCCAATGCCACCTGCTCAGAGGGTTCTCTGGCAACAGACACCATGAGCTCCACCTGCTGTCACCAGATATGCCACCTACCTTGAAGGAGAGGCTCCCACCCAACTCCCACCCAGCCACACAAGCTGCCCCCACCCAGTCCCCAACGCCATGGGCTTCACCTCCTCACTACCACATAAGCTTATTCAAGTGAGGCAATAATCACATCTTCCAGCAAAACCAAAGGTCACCTCACCCTCTGGTCACTACCAAGCCTGCCTCTGCAGGCCCCCTGGTTCCCTCTGCTCCCAAGTGCACGTCCAAGTGCAACCTTCAGGTGGGCCTGCCTGGCAGGTATTGTCCTTCTCACCTGGGCTCTGAGAATGTGTGACCATCAGTCTCATCTGTCCAGTGTTGGGGGCCATGTATCAGGCCAACATGTAGGATTTAGGGAAGGGGACCCCTCCTTCATCATAGTGGATAGGGGAGCCCAACAAGCCCCGACTGTCTCTATTGCCCTCCTGCTTGATTTCCAGCTCACCGCTCACTACTGCCTGAAATCACATTCTTGTGGGCATGGACACTGCCCATCTCCCTTTCTAGAATGCCCCAGGGGCAGAGCTATGGTCTGCCCATGTGGCCCTAGATCAGTTCCCAATGCTCAGTGCATGACTAAGATTTGAATGCGAGAGCGATGAGAATAAAATGCTTGGTGCTTAGCACAGCTGCCGGACACCACAGGCAATCTGTTCCCTTCAGCTCTTGTCAAAGGATGCTTGGTTATTTGTCTCTCCAGCTACACTGTCACCTCACAAGCTAACAGATGGTAGCTGCAGTTGTACTGTGGTATCTGCAGTCACAGCTCGCAGAGTGACAGGCACATTCGTGCTCAATATATACTTGCTGAAGATCAAAGAAATGTTGCATACTTGTCAAACCCTTGGAGCAGGAGAAGGGAGTTTCTCTCATGCGCCCTAACACTGGGTTAAGACCTGAAAATACAAAGATGGAGACCAACCAACCACGAAGTCACCTGCAAAGCTCAGAGGGCTGACAACCTCCAAGAGCCCCACGAAGGGACTGATGAGACGGATGTGACTCATCTGCCCCCTCCCAGCTCTCGTGCCACTCACCATGCCTTGCTCCAACGCCTTCTTGATGCGTCCAGCATCTGCCACTGGGAACCAGATCTCAGCGATGACGCACTGCTGGGTGACATCAATGTTGCACATGTTCAGGATGTGGTAAACGGCCTTCATCTTCTGTACCTTGGTGACCCAGGAGTGCCAGTTGGCAGCTGCTTCCTGCAGCAGGCGCTGGCGGTGAGATTCCGTTTGTGTGATGACCTAGGCAAAAGACAACACGCAGAGAGACAGGAACATACATGGAGGCATTTGACACGGGTGGGAGGTCCATCAGCCACCATGGCTTCCCATGTCCTGGGCTCCTTCCATGTCAGAGGAAGGAGCTCATCTGGACTTTACCTGTCACCACGAATTTATCCCCTATAGAGGCTACACCCCTGGGGCGAAGACCAAATTTTCCATTTCTTCTAAAGTCCACGGTCCTATTATTGTGGGTTGAATTGTGTCCCTCCCCCAGGAAGAAAAAAGATGAAGTCCTAAAGTATAATCTTATTTGGAATAAGATTATGGACACATAACGGCGATAAGATGAGGTCATATTCAATTAAGATGAGCACTGCATCCATGAGCCAAGGAACTCCAAGGGTTGCCGAAACCACCAGAAGCTAGAAGAGGCAAGGAAGGACCCTCTCTTGGTGACTTCAGAGGGCGCACAGCCCTGCAGACACCTTGAGTTTGGACTTCTGGTTCTGTTGTTTTAAGCCACCCAGTTTACAGTAAGTTGTTGTAGCAGCCCTAAAAATTAAGACACGCTGTGATACATAATCCCTCTAAGAAGTGACAAGTTATTAATGTATGAAGGACTGAATGGATGATTTGTCCCACACAAGATGTATTTAATGAAATTAATTGTAATTCAATGAATAGGTGATCTTTTCAATAACCTTTACAGGTGGCTACTATAGTAGTCTGTAAAAGGTACATCATGGATGTAAGATTAATGATAGCCGTCAGGCCCACTGAGGTGTCTTGAAGGGTCACTCAGCAGAATGAAGCACCCTGGTCACAGGACTTCCAGGAGACAAAGCCGCTCCAGCAGATAAAACTGGCCTAAACCTTAAAATGGAGCTCACTCTTTCAAGAACAGCTCATGTTCCCTCTATGAAAGAAACACCTGGTGACAGACCTGGACTCAATACTGGTATAAGACAGGGATAGGACTCGCCAAACTCTGAGAACGGCCTCCAGGCAGAGAACCCCCTGCTCCACCGGTCATCTGGCCCCCTCATCTTCCTGGCTGTGCTACCCGCCTGCTGTTGGGATCCTCTTGTAAGAGCACCCCCAGAGTGAACCGCCTGGGTGGCTAAGACTCACTCCGCGTCCTGATTAAACAGAAGACAGAAGTCACTGCTGGGGAAACTGACCAACTTGGGCCACCAAAATCCGTGAACACAGAGGCTGCCCAAGCCACGCTGACCTGGGCGTCGCAAGCATCGTGTCCTTCCCCTTCTCCCCGTTACAGCCTTCGTGAGCTCTACCGGGAGCATTCAGGGAAAAGGACTTCAAGCGGGATTACTTGAGGGAAACATCTGTGACAGTGACAATGAAGGAATAGAGGATTAAAGAAATTCAACACGGATTTTCTGGGAGGGTAAAGGAGCCTCCTGGCCCTAGTGTTTGCAAATGCAGACACCGCAAATTCCTAAACCCACCCATGGAGGATCTCACATTGTGCTGGCCTATGGTCACCGCAGGCAGGTAGTAAAATTTAAATGTAATTAAATAAAAAATAACCATTCAGTTCCTCCCTGGCACTAGCCACATTTCAGGTGCTCAATAGCCACATGTGGCCAGTGACTACAGCACTGGACATTGCCAGCTACAGAACATTTGCATTACACAGAGTTCAACTCGACGGTGCTGGTCTAGAATATTCCATCAGATGGAATATTCCAGGTGACTTTAGTGGGCACACTCAAAGCCACTGTGACGGATGAGTGTTCCCATCACAGAAGCCCTCGGTGTCACCGTGAATGATGACACACTCTCAAGGAAATGAATTGGAGACATACGAGTATTCCCATGGCAAAACCAGATGCACTGTTTTTACAGACTTAGTTGGTCGGCTTAATTCAGTACGGGTCAAACTGGTTGTTCAACGTAGTAAGTTGGTTAGTTGGATCCTAGATTCCATCTAGGCTGAGGCAGGAAATAAAGGGTTCCTTTGATCAGATTAAGGTAGGCTCCTGAAGGCTGGCTAGGGCTGTGGCTGGGAGCTGGGCGAAGCATTGCTGACAGGCAGTATCATCACCTCGGCTTATTGAACAGTTTTTTAATTGTGCAATTTTCTCCAGCCACAGGCAGAAGAGTGCAGCAAACATTCCAGCCAGCCTTCCAGGCAGGGCCTAGGGATAGGACTCAGAGGGAAAAGACAGAGGCAGCCCCAACCAGCTCATCCAGGAACCCCTCACTCACTGTGATGAGATCTTCCAGCCGCACGTTGATCCCATCCAACATCTCTCTGCGCTCTGCAGCATGTTCTGGGCAGGGGTATATGGTGGCTCGAAACCTGTGTTCAATACATTCCATGGATGTGTGGAGGTGGGTTAGTGCTGCAGAGCACTCTGCAATCCCTTTTCTGCAAGGCCATTGTTGGCCCACACGAGTCAGATGGCCACCCTCTCCTACGACAACAGCTTCCTCTTTGGCAGTCCCAGAAATTGAACTGTGGTTCTGTTACATGAATGAACTTCATTCAAACCACAAAACCTGTGAGCTATTATGGAAATCACATTGTGGGCTTGAGCCCCCTCTGTTAGGTAGGAGTTCAGGGACACCAAGATGGCAGAGACAGAACATTAGAAAGAAGCCGCTGGAGGACAGGACAGGAAAAGAGTCCCATCCCTATTTACAATAAATCCCATTACCATGACACTGAGGACATCACCGTGACAATTCCCACCACAGGTTCAAATTTTAAAATAACCAATGAAGGTAAAGTGGGCAATATTCTAATCACTATTATAAGGTAACTGATGGGAAAAATGGGGTAAGGTCTTCAATCAGGTCCCATAGGGAACAGAAGCTCCACAGTCCAGGCTACAAGATCTCAATTTCCAACACTGGAGCCTTGAGCCTGTCTCTCTCAGCCAGCCACTCGTTCTGCCCAACAGAGGGCTATCTACACCTTTCAGTAAAACTGTACTCTGTTACGTCTGTGTGTCTTGCTCAAGTCTTTGTTCAGGACACCAAGGACCTGGACTTTGATGGGACATCTCAATGGTAACACTTCTCCCCTTCAGGATCTCGTGTATTATTGTCTGGGTAGTTTCTGACTCTAAGGGGCTGCATACAGGACAAGTCTGCAAAATCAGCAACAACTTAGCCATGTAGTTTGCTATCTTTCTCTTTTTTTTTTTTTTTTTTTTGGTACTAGAGATTAACTTAGGGATGCTCTACCACTCAGCTACATCCCCAACCTTATTAATTTTCATTTTGAGACAGGGTCTCTCTAAGTTTCCCAGGCTAACCTCAATCTTGCAATCCTCCTGCCTCAGCCTCATGAGTGGCTGGGATTACAGGTGTACACTACCTGGCTTGTCTTATTACTTAGCAGCAGAAATGAGATATACCACATACCAAGGAATAAAGTGGAATGGTTAACATGTCTATTCTTAGTTACCTTTAAATGTTATTCAAGTTCTCTCTGTTCATATTCCCACAACTATAAAAGTCAGCTGCATTTTTAACACCACCATGTTAAATGTCATTCTAAACCCTACTGACCTCAAAGGAGCCCCAACCATGTACGTTCTGCATGACATATGTCCACCTGATCCTGACCCCAGTCACCGATGAAAGAATCATTAGCAATTTCTCTTACCCATCACAGATCTTCTTGACTTTCTGTCTGAGCTGCTCTCCTTGGTAAAATATGATGAATATATTCTTCTTAATTTCTTCTTTCTGGAAAATCAGAACAAATTTTCTTAAAGACCTTAAAGTAATAACCTCACTATTTGCTACACCAACGGGACCACACTTGGGCTTTGAATTCTGCTCTAAGCCCTCTACCTAAGAGATGGGATCACAAAAAAGAAAACATCCAGAAAGGGCATGATGAGGATACTGCGAGGCATACGAGGAAAACATCCAGCATCAACCCACGTACACCTGCACTTCAGGGATGAGTGTGTTTGATATTTAACAAAAGGAAAGCTGTGTTTAGTTTTCAACTCACACATTTGCTTGCTGTGCACGCTTGGGAATATTGTTTAAATTGCTTCATCAAGTCCAAGTTGGACAATTCACAGAAAAGAAGAATATGCATTCCACAGCATTTATGAAATCATTCAACTCTTACAGCAAAGAAATATGAACTGAATAAGTTTGCTCTCTCACTCTTAATTAACTTAAGGGAACAAAGGAAAAGTTACAAAACCCACTGTGGAAAAAGTGACGGCAAACCCAAGGAACTCACCACATACCACTCAGGGCACTGAGTCAGGTAGTGCCCCGGGGAGAGGTACTTGTCAGGACCCTTCAAGTGTGACAAGAATGGCCCTGCCCTTGGGGCTGGGGTTGTGGCTCAATGGTAGAGTGCTTGCCTAGCACATGTGAGGCACTGGGCTCGATCCTCAACACCACATAAAAATAAATAAATAAAATTTAAAAAAAGAATGGCCATGCCCTTTAAGCCAGTATCCTATCTTCCTTAAATTCATGTTACAGAATAAATTCAAAAGAAAATAAAAACCCACATGCATAAAGTTGCTCATCATAGTATCTATATTCTGGAGAAAATTTGAAAATGAAGTGTTCAAAATTAGAAAGTTAATATCACATCAACTCAATGGAAATGTTAGGCATCTATTAAAATAGCCTCAAAATAAGTCCTCTTTTGGGCATTGTTTATGGGAGCAAGGGAGGAGTGGTGTGGGGTTTCTGAGCTGCCTACTTTACATTAGGTCCAAAGTAATAGCCTTCACCCATGGATGCTACCTTGGTCTTTTTCTGAATGTCTCATTTCCTGACCCACCAGAACCAGGGATTTCACGTCATGAAATCCATTGGGGAGCTGGGGCTGTGGCTCAGTGGTAGAGCGCTCGCCTAGCATGTGCGAGGTCCTGGGTTCAATCCTCAGCACCACATAAAAATAAGTAAATAAAATAAAGGCATGTGTCCAACTACACCTAAAAAACAAATTAAGAAAGGGGGGGGGGGGGGGGCTGGGGATGTGGCTCAAGCGGTAGTGCGCTCGCCTGGCATGTGTGTGGCCCGGGTTCGATCCTCAGCACCACATACAAACAAAGATGTTGTGTCCGCCAAAAACTGAGAAATAAATATTGAAACTCTCTCTCTCTCTCTCTCTCTCTCTCTCTCTCTCTCTCTCTAAAAAAAAAAAAAAAAGAAAGAAAGAAATCCATTGGGTGGCCTTCAATGTGGTCATCTTTTTCCAGATTCCAGATGTTTTTAAGTACTGTCTGTACTACCATGACATTACATTATGGCCAAGCATGGTAGTGCATAATCCCAGCTACTCAGGAGTTGGGGTAAGAGGATCATAAGTTCAAGGTTAGCCTGGGCAGTTTAGTGAGGCCCTAAGCAACTTAGCAAGTCTCTGTCTCAAAAAATACAAGGGTCTGAGGATGTATCTTGGTGGTAAAGAGTCCCTGGGTTCCATCCCCAGTACCACAAACAAAAATAAAATAAAAAAAAAAAACATCATTATGAAAAACGATGATTCAACGTCAAATTTGAAAATAATCTATAGAAATTACGGGTAATGATATCAAGAATTTTTCTCATATTACCTAAACTGAAGAGGGAAAGAGGAATCATTTCCATGCATAACAACCATATAAAATCATACCTGCTTATGGCTACAGTCTAGAGAAAAATAGTACAAGAAGAGACTAAGAATAAAGACATTATAGTGCTTTTTAAATGCTTTGTGTTTGTGTTTCCTTCTTATTTTAAATTTCATTTATTTTAATCATGAGAGAGTTTTGTTGTTGTTATTCTTTTTTTTTTTTTCTTCCTTTGTGGCACTGGGGGTTGAACCCAGGGGTGCTCCAGGGGAGCCACATCCCTACATTCCCAGCCCTTTCTATTTTTTATTTTGAGATAGGGTCTGGCTAAGTTGCTGAGACTGGCCTGGGACTTATTGTCCTCCTGCCTCAGCCTCTTGAGTTGTTCTTTATCAAATAAAACTTTAAATTAATTCTTTTAGCCTCTAATCTGGAAACGATTACACTCTTTTAGAGACAAGCTCAGTTTCTTGAACTAAAGAGTGAGTGGATTTCAACACTCAGTGGAAGGGTGGAGGAATCAATACCCCATGGGAATTAACCCTATGTGACGCTCTCAGGGAAGAAGCCCCTAGAAGCCCGTCTTGCTGAAGCCTGTGGCGGTGGACCAGTACCCCGTGAGCATCTTCTGGGAGGCTGTAAGAGCTGCAGGCACCAAGGCTCAGCCCCAGCCCCACTGAGTCAGCGTCTGCATTTTAACAAGATCCCAGGTCACTTCTATGTGACCTGGATCTATGTTCATGGGCACACTGAAGTTTGAGAAACTGACCTAAATAGCTTCTTGGTGCTTTGTGATTAAGATACAGCTGCCACTCACGTAATGCTGGTACAGCTAAGTTTCTGGAGACAAGATAGGTACACGACTTGGAGAAAGGAATCAACTTTCTTTTAACAAGAAGGTGTTAACAAGACTCAGTCCTAGAGTGACCCCTCAAACATATAGAAAAAGGGCAAAAAGAGGAGATAGGAGAAAGAAAGTTCTGTGAGGTGCTAGTCTCACAGAACTAAAGACTCAATGTTTTGAGAGCCAGACTCTCATGACACGGTTCCAGGAATCTCAGCGGAGGCTTCCTGAAGCCCGGGCCTCCCACCGTGACGGGATCCTCCAGAGGCGTGTCCATCTCACTGAACTTCAAGTAGATGTTGCCCCGGCAGATGCGCCACAGCAGCCTCTCGAAGGAAGCCATCCTCTCCCTGTTAATCACTCCAGCCGTGAACCTGGGCAGCAGAAGAGGAGACATTACTGGGGCCCAGAGAGCAGGCTCTATGGCACAACTGCAGAAGGATGGCCCACCTGGCTCTGTAGGCTGGAGGTGTCTTCACACAGCTGGGGTCAGGGATCACAAGGCCAGCCCACATCCCAGCCCCAACTACCCAAGTCCCTTTGGACCTTCTGTTCTCTTTGATATTTTGAGGTGCTTTTTAAAAAAAAAAAAAAATTATCCCAATACTCCATATTTACTTATTCCAATTAAAAATGTGATAGAATATTCAATATAGCATTGCAGCTCCTGGAAATAAGTGTTCAATAATGGTCTCTGTGCATTTTTACCAAAAACTTTTAATGTGTTAAGATGGAAACAAAAGATAAGGTACTGAGAATGAGATTGATCTAATGATGTTATGTGCATGTCCAAATGAATTCTACTATTATGTATAATTATAATGCATCAATTATAAAAAAAATTAAAGAAGGAAATACACATTGATTTTTATATATCTCTGTTTTTTCTCATCATTCAGATATTTAACAATTGCTGACACAAACTTCTAATACGATATTCAAAGTGGTGACTTTCACTGGTTTATCAGTTTAAACATATATTGATCCCAAATTACCATTGGATCAAAAAAAATCATTTTTTACAGTGCTGAGGGTGGAACCCAAGGCCTTGTGCACGTTAAGACAAGTACACCAAGCTACACCCCCAGCTCCAAATGTTTTCAGTAATTATTTATTCCTTTCACTTCAAATTCAATTCCTAGTGCCTCAAAAAGCAGGCCCTCAATAACTAGTTGAATAAAATATTAGAAATCCCAAACCCACAATGTTCAGGAATATCTTAAAATTCATCAATTTCACTTAGACACTGAATGAAATCCCCCCATTTTGCTTTTTATTGTTTTTTTTTTTTAATATTCTTCTAGATGTTGATGGACCTTTACTTTATTCATTTATTTATATGCAGTGCTAAGAATCAAACCCAGTGCCTCACACATGCTAGGCAAGTTCTCTACCACTGAGCCACAACCCCAGCCTGAAATCCCCCCATGTTGAATCTCCATGTATTTTCGTCAGTGTCATACATAATATGGCTACTAACTGGAAATGACTTGACTGGATAACTCTATCATTTCTAAAATTACATTTAAAAACTCAAACTCCAAATGCACGTTACCCAAGTGCCATTTAAAGATAAAGAAAAAACGTATACCCCCTAGCCCAGGGCCAAACCCAATGAAGAGTTGAGGAGATCTTTCTGGGCTTGATCCCCAGGCTTTCCCCACAAGAGCTATCCATGCGTGGCACTCCCTGCGCTGAAGGACAAGAGCACGGCCATGACACAGAGGGAGCCCTCACTACCTCCACCCCAGCCACTGGCACCATGGCCCTGGGGTCTGCTGCTTGTGGAGGCCTTGCATCCACAGGTAGCAGTGACCACTCCAGTGGCTCTTTGTTCCTTCATTTATTCCCTCAAACACTCAAGGAAACCCATGACTCAGGACCTAGAGTTACACTGACCCCAACTTTCCAGCCACGAATGCAGGTACAGTTCTCAACTCCAGGAGACCGGAAGTGTCTTCAATAAAGAAATCTTCAGCTAAATTGGTTTCCGTCTGAAATCCAAAGCACCACTGACATTGAAATGCACTGGTATCTTAGGGGCACCCACATTTTAAGGTTTTGTCTGTTTTTAAAGGAGTTTTAATTTTCCACAAGATGATTAACAGAATTAAACAGCAGAGTGCTCCTTGCCAGACCAAAAATCGTCCCCAGTCTCTCTCTGCAAAAACCCCAAATCTGCCCAAACTAACTGTCCTTCTGCTCTGACTTTCCCTTCTGTCAGAGCCATTTTGGGTACATTCTCTTCCCCTTCATTGATGATCTGGCCATAGGACAGAAACAGAGGGTTTTATTCATGTTCCAAATCAACCAGCTTTCAAATTTTGAGAAAATTCGAGGTTTTAATTAAATGGGCCCTTTAATGAACACCGCCACCCCCACAAAAAAAAAAAAAAAAGACCTCAAAGAAGTCCTGGGTTTTCTTCAGGAGGTATTTGAGTTCTGTCAGTTCTAAGAAGCTTTTCTTCAAAGCCTGCTGGTTCTGGTTGGCTTCTTGCAATTCTCCTTCCAATTTTTCTAGAATAGTCTATGCAGGAGGGAAACAGAAGGTAAGCCAGACAGAAAGCACTATGATACTCCTACTCTACCCACACCGATAACTGAAACCAAAGAGGGGTTCAGTGCACCCTAACACAGCTGGAAGTTGGGTGACCTTTCCAGCCACAAACTCTCTGTTCTTGCAGAACCTGAGCTGGAACCGTCCACTCGCTCTCCAGGGTTCCCTTATCAATGGGAAGGAAAGGAGGACACTCTTCAGGGAGGGAGGCACCTTCATGGGGAAGCCCAGGCATCCTTCCCTCCTCTATAACACTAGACAGGGAAGACAGAGGGGATTTACATGTTGAGAATTCCCTCTGCCCCAAATTAACTGTAATGATGGATTAAATATAGGAAGAAAAATTTGTATCACCTCTGAGTCACCTCCTGTTCCAAGTGAGAATCTGGAGAGCCAGGTACAAGCAAGTGGGAAAAGGAAACAGAGAAAGGTGGGCACAGACGACGAGACAGTAACAAGCAAAAAAAAAAAAAAACCTTCTTTAGATAAAGGGGACACAAAAAGATGAGGCTTGTGATAAAATCTAATATTAAGATAAATCACCAACAAAATCAGAACACAAAACCCTATGTCATGAAATCATTTTTATAGAGCAGTATGAAAAAAGATTTTAAAGTTTGTTTTGTTTTTCTGGTGGTGCTAGGAATTAAACCCAGGGCCTTATGCATGGTAGGAAAGTGTTCTGTCACTGAGCTACATCTGTGTGTGTGTGTGTGTGTGTGTGTGTGTGTGTGTGTTTGTTTTCTCTTTTGAATATTCAGAGATAAATGAAGTTATTGATTTCACTAAAAAAATAAATAGCCAGGTACGGTGAAGCATGCCTACAATCCCAGCAGCTTAAGAGGCTGAAGCAGCAGGATCACGAGTTCAAAGCCAGCCTCAGCAACTTAGAGAGGCCTTAAGCAACTCAGTGAGACGCTGTCTCTAAATAAAATATAAAAAGGGTTAGAGATGTGGCATAGTTAAGCACCCCTGTGTTCAATCCCAGGTTAAATAAATAAATAAGAAATTCTTATTCCTTATTAAACAACAACAATGTTGTTCTTATTAAGAACAACAATGTCTTAATATTAAAAGAACAGGTAGATACAGAAAAATAACTTTTGGAAATACTGAAAATGAAAAATACAGCTATTGGCATTCAAAACTCAATAAGATCAACTCTATATCTGGTACAGTTTGTGAATGTAATACTGAGGTTTAATAATATATAGATATGAAAGGCCATTTATCCAAATGTCCATCAACAATACAATGGATGAAGTACATTATATTCAAAGAAGATATTTTATAGTAGTGAAGATGAATTAATTTCAAGAACAAGAACCAATATGGATCTCTGGGGCACTATGAAGGCAGTGCTAAGAGGAAAGTTTATTGTATTAAAATCATTCATTAAAAAAATAAAAAGTCAAAAAATAAATGACCTAACATTACAACTCAAAGCCCTAGAAAAAGAACAAATCAACACCAAAATCAATAGAAGATGGGAAATAATTAAAATCAGAGCTGAAATCAATGAAATTTAAACAAAAGAAACAGTTGAAAATACTGACAAAACGAAAAATTGGTTCTTTGAAAAAATAAATAAAATTGATAAACACTTAGCCATGCTAAAGAAGAGAAGGAGAGAGAAACTCTCTTAATTACTAAATTACTAAAATCTGTGATGAAAAAGGAAATATCATAACGGACGCTACAGCAATACAGAAAATAATCAGAAACTATTTTGAAAATTTATACTCCAATAAAATAGGAAATATTGAAGTCATTGACAAATTTCTAGAGTCATATGATTTACCCAAACTGAATCAGGAGGCTAATACACAAGTTAAACAGATCAATTTCAAGCAATGAAATAGAAGACACCATCAAAAGCCTATCAACCAAGAAAAGCCCAGAACCAGATAGATTCACAGCTGAGTTCTTCAAAGAAAAACTAATACCTATAGTCCTCAAATTATTCCATGAAATAGAAAAAGAGGAAACAACTCATTCTATGAGGCCAACATTACCCTGATTCCAAAACCAGAAAAAAGACAAATCAAGGAAAGAAAACTTCAGACCAATATCTCTAATGAACAAATGCAAAAATTCTCAATAAAATTCTGGCAAATCGAATACAAAAACATATTAAGATGATAGTGCACATCCATCAAGTGGGGTATCCTAGGGATGCAAGGTTGATTCAACATCCAGAAATCAATAAATGTAATTTGTCACATCAATAGATTTAAGGATAAGAATCATATGATCATCTCAATAGAAGCAGAAAAAGCATTTAACGAAATACAGCACAACTTCATATTCAAAACACTAGAAAAACTAGGGATAATAGGAACATATCTCAACACTGTAAGCTATCTTTGCTAAACCCAAGGCCAACATCACTTTAAAGAGAGAAAAACTGAAAGCATTCCCTTTAAAAACTGGAACAAGACAGGGATGCCCTCCTTCACCATTTCTATTTAACATAGTCCTTGAAACTCTAGCCAGAGCAATTAGACAGATGAAAGAAATTAAAGGGGTACAAATAGAAAAAGAAAGAACACAAACTATCGCTATTTGCTGACAACATTGTTGTATCCTCAGAGGATCTGAAAAATTCCACCAGAAAACTTCTAAAACTAATAAATGAATTCAGCAAAGTGCAGGATATAAAATCAACAGCCATAAATCAAATGCATTTCTGTACCTCAGTGACAAATCCTGAAAGAGAAATTAGGAAAACTACCCCATTTGCAATAACCTCAAAAAAAAAAAACAAAATTGGGAATCAACTTAATGAAAGAGGTGAAAGACCTCTACAATAAAAATCTGGCAAATCAAATACAAAAACATATTTAAAAAGATAGTGCACCACAATAATGTGGGGTTCATCCCAGGGATGCAATAAATACAGTTATCTCATATTAGACAAAGGTGCCAGAAACATATATTGGAGAAAAGAGAGCCTCTTCAACAAATGGTGCTGGGAAAACTGGAAATTCATATGCAGCAAAATGAAACTAAACCCCTCTCGCCATGCACAAAACTCAACTCAAAGTGGATCAAGGACTTAGGAATGACATCAGAGATCTTATGCCTAATAGAAGAAAAAACAGACCCAAATCTTCATCATGTGGGATTAGGCCCCGATTTCCTTAACAAGACTCCTAAAGCACAAGAAATAAAATCAAGAATCAATATGTGGGATGAATTCAAACTAAAAAGCTTCTTCTCAGCAAAAGAAATAATCAGTGAGGTAAAGAGAGAGCCTACAGAATGGGAGCAAATCTTAACCACACGCACATGAGATAGAGCACTAATCTCTAGAAATATATAACGAACTCAAAAATCTTAAGATCAAAAAAAAATAACCCAATCAATAAATGGACTGAGGAACTTAACAGACACTTCTCTGAAGAAGATATACAATCAATCAACAAATATATGAAAAAAATGTTCAACATCCCTAGCCATTAGAGAAATGCAAATCAAAACTACTCTATGATTTCATTCTCATTTCAGTCAGGATGGCAGTTATTAAGAATAGAAGCAACAATAAGTGTTGGCAAGGTTGTGGGGGGAAAGGCACACTCTTACATTGCTGGTGGGACTGCAAATTGGTGCAACCACTCTGGAAAGCAGTATGGAGATTCCTTAGAAAACTTGGAATGGAACCACCCTTTGACCCAGCTACTCCACTCCTCAGTTTATACCCAAAGGACTTAAAAACAGCATACTACAGGGACACATACTACAGTCAAGCTATACAACAGTCAGCTGTCTGACAAAACCACAAAGGATGGGAAGTGAGGTAGCAACAGATTTTGAGAAAGTGTTATGAAACCAAGTCTTGGAATGTCCATGGGAAAATCTCCTGGGAACTTGTCTTGAAAGGTTAGATATAACTGTGAATCCACAGCTTTCAAGCCAAGGGTTTTAAGCCAAATGCAGGGAGGGAGTGGTAATCACAATAAATGGAAACAGACCAAGGTCACCTCCTAAAAAGATATTATCATTTCAGATTTTTAAAAATCCGCCCAAGGGAAACCCTTACCAAAAAGATAAAAGTAAACAATAAAAAAGGATATCCATGTAAGGTAAGCTCTCCTCTTCCCCACCCCCCACAAGAGCACATTAATATCGGACAAAAGGGAATATTTTAAAGTTGAAATGGTGAAACTTAGATCTGCATGCCTGGGCAGAGTTGGAGAAGTTTTTACAGAAAAGAGAACTCAACCAATCAGCTCACACTGAATTCAGTTGGATGGATGTTTTTTCTCAAGCTCCTATCTAAAACACGGCCATCTCAATTTGCAATTGAAAATGCCTGCTACCGGCTTACCAAGATCAAGAAAGTCCTTGTGCTTATCAAGCTTCAGCACAACAGCATAGAAAGACAGCCACAACTGTTTGAAAAGATGACTAGAACATTCCTCCGTTTTCCAAGCTCCTATCTAAAACACAGGCTGTGTAAGGCTGGACCATCTTCACAAACATCAATTAAAACCACACATCACAACAGATTTTGTGAGACACCAACTCATATCATTAAGTCAAGAATCGAAGAAGAAATCTGCAAACACTGCCACTCTTCTCACTAAAGGCTTTTATCTTGGAAAATGCAGTTAATTTTTCATCTTAACTATGTTAATAAATGATAAGGTATTGATTTTAGATGAATGAATTTTATCTTGTTTCCTATTTTAGGTCCTCATACAGTAAATATCAGTAACTATAATCTGCATTAATTATTTAATTAATTGGAATCCTCGATCAGAGTTGAGTGTAAAGATGCCTGAGACCAAGAAACTTGAGAACCACTGAATTAGAAGATCATGAGATGTCATATTGATTAGAAGTTCTTAAAAGAATGGAATTTTCATGCTTTGGCAAAGCTGGAGAAGGCTTTGTAGAAGAAGAGGAGATGAAGAGGGGTTGGCGGTGCATGGGAAGGGCACCCTGGGCCTGGGGCACAGCATGATCAACAGCTTGGAGTTGAGAAATGGGTACAAGGTGAGCAGAGAATCACGGGACAAGTTCATTGAAGGTGGAGGACTGGTAAGGTGCAGACAGGACCAGGAGGCCAGGCTTTCATGAGGTGGCTAGGACTGATACAGGCACGAAGGGAGCCATAGCACATTCTTGAGCAGGGAAGTGATGAGATCAACCACTTCCAGGACAGAACCTGGTGGGTAGGCAGCGGAAAGTGGAATAGTTAAGAAAACCATGGTTGTGCATGCCTATTATCCCAGAGATTTGGGAGGCTGAGGTAAGAAGATCTTGAGTTCAAAGCAAGCTTCAGCAACTTAGTGAGGCCCTACGCAACTCAGTGAGACCCTGTCTCTAAAGAAAATATAAGAAAGGGCTGGGGATGTGGCTCAGTGATTAAGCACCCCTGGGTTCAATTCCCGTACCAAAAAAGGAAAAAAGAAAACCAGTCAGACTAGAGGCCTCTGGGATGGCTCAGAAATCAATGTCAATGCATAAACCAGAAGGATGTCTCCCAGATCACAAGAATAGGCCTGGGGCTGAGGTAAGGGCTGGGGTGAGAGCTAGACGGGGCTGCTGAATGAAGGGGACTGGTATTCCAAGATGGGGGGTTAGGTTGAAATTGGAGGTGATCTGGGAAAAACCTTTCTCCAGGGCTGGAGTGCAACTCAGTGGTAGAACACTTGTCCAGCATGTGTGAGGCCCTGGGTTCAAGAACCAGCACCGACAAAAAAAGAGGAGGGGGAAGAGAAGGAAGAAGTTCCTAGTCCACCAACTGCTTTGCACAGGCGGGTGACTAGCAGACATGCCACCTCGCCCACATTCAGCCTGCTCGGAGGCACCATCTAGACAAGACTCTGCTGCCTTTGAAAATCTATGTCCACAAAGCAGATCACTCCTCCTTGCGAGGTGAGCTTCTCTGGGGTTGTGTTGAGAAAGGAAAACAGCTCTCCCCTGCATCAGCAGGAGTGGCCCCCAAATTTGCAATTTTCCTGGGGAAGTCACCCTGAAAAGTGACAACCACGTAAATCTGCTTTCTCACCTTCTCTAACCAGGTGAAGGACCCATGAGTGGCATTCAGAGTTCCCAGAATGACAGGCTTTGTGACTGTCCTTCCCTGGGGGCAGCTGCAGAGTGCAGAACCTACCTCCAGTGTAATCATTTCCCGAGGGAGAGGAGTCTCCGGGTACTTCTCCGGCAATTGGACTGTAATCTCATTTTGCATCTCATCTTCCAGAAAACCTGAGGGATGACACCCCAGAAGAGAATACAAGGTGACAGTGGGTCCCCATAATTAAGCAACAGGGTCCAGCAGGACAGGTGTCTTCCAGCCAGCTGCCCTAAGGCCTGCCCCAGCACCAGGGGCCCTCCCCCAACCTCCTGCCTCCACAGTCACCCCAAAGAGTATTACAAACAGGGACACATTTGTTAACTAGTCGTGCAAACTATTTCCCTCCTTACCAGTCCCCATTTAGACAGTAAGGAAAGTAGCTTACGGAGGATTCTTTCCAATGACTCACACCTTCGAACTTCATTCACAAATTTCCTTTGGAAGCTGTTCACGTTCACGTTTAACTAGGGACAGGGGGAAGGGGACAGCAGGCACACATTAGGCCACACGGTTGCCAACATATTCCTCTGTTATTGCATTATCTTTTTTAAAAAAATTGTAGTTGTAGATGAACAGCATGCCTTTATTTTGTTTCATTTTTATGCGGTGCTAAGGGTCAAACGCAGTGTCTTGCACATGCTAGGCAAGTGCTCTGCCACCGAGCTATAGCCCCAGCTCTGCATTATCTTCTTCATGTTGGAGAATGTTGCTGGAGTTATCTTGGGAACAGGTGTCTCCATGTACAAGACAGGTGAGTTACAGGAAAACCAACCCTTGGTATTTTCACCCACAATCATTGGCGCTCATTCTGACCTTGCCATTTCTAAGAGAAACAAAGTCCTCCCACACCCAAGGTTGCCTTGTTTTTAGCTGCATTTGCTCTCCAAAAAAGCCTGGGAATCTTCAATAAAGCCATAAATATGAATGGACCTTGAAAACTGCACAAGTCAATGTAAGTTTCACAATCATCAATAAAAATCCAACCCCTGTGTGGTGACCCTTGGCTCACCCCAATAAGTGTTTCTGAAGACCTGCCTCCAGTCAGGTCCTGTGCTAGCAAGTAGGAAAGCAAAAAACAAGGTCATGATCCTTCCCTGCAGAAGCTAAGCTTTGACATTGATCTTGGTGAGGAAATCAGAAAGACTGATTTTCAAAATGCAATTCAAAAAAAGAGCTTTGGACATAAAGTGCCCCTGGGAAGTGACACCCAATGTCACTCAAGCCATTCTATCCCTGGAGTATCACTCTGGAACTCAGTCCTGGGTATGACAAACAATGCTGTGCACTCCAGAATATTTTGTCCCTAGATTGCATGGGCATGTTTGACGATGCTGCACAGGAAATCAAATACAAAGGCATCCCACATCAGTGATCCGGGTTTGCATTAGAGCTTCAGAATCTTCCTCCAGAGAAGACAGGCATGGAGGAAGAAAACAGGGTCATGAATGACTTGCCCTGTGGTCACAAACCCCCACCAGGACAACTAGGACCGTGGAATTCCACCTATTCCAGCTCCAGGCTCCTCTTCCTGCAGAACCCATTTTGTTCACTAGGGAGGTGAAAGATTTATCTACTTCCCTCCCACCTTCCTCTTATCTCCAAAGAATGCAATACCTACATCTTTGAACTGAACCAATCCAAGCTCCCCGAGCTCAGCTACACAGCAGTAGGCAGCCTCCACCTGCAGAAACACCTGTGACAAACACATTTCCTCACTTCGAAACACAGACGCCATCTTGGCCTGGCTTCTGTCTGCAGGAGAAAAAGAGAAAGATCTAAGGAAATGAACATGTGACAGTCTTAGGATGATTTTTTTAAGTTAAAAATTAGAACCCAACTAGAATCACTCCTGATTTAAAGATGGTAAACAAAAACAAGATAGAACTTTTCACCCTCTATCAAATTAGCCACTGATTTAAAAATACGATGAGGGGGTAGGGTGGGGCTGGAGATACAGCTCCTTGGTAGTGCTTGCCTAGCATGCGCAGGGTCCTGGGTCGGTCCTCACACTGCAAAACAAACCAAGGGCTGGGTGTGCAGTTCAGGGGTAGAACACTCGCCTAGCCTGCACAAGGCTCTGGGTTCAAATTCCATAACACACACACACACACATGTAATCATGTATATATGATTAAAGACTCAAGTTGTGGAAAGTGTGAGAAAGCACAGCCTTTCCTACAGTAAGTGTAAATTCTTTATAGCTTTCTCAGAGAGCAAGTTGTCAATATCCATTGACTTTTGTATTATTCATACTCATGACCCCAGATCTCCATGCTATTTATCCAGACAAACCTGAGTACCTATGGAAAGACAGATGAATAAGGATGTCGATACCATTATAAATAAAATTTCTAGTAAATGAATCTATGCTAGATATCATCTATGGGGGATGATTAAATACAACAGAACTCCACATATTCAGCAGGAATTAAATAAGTCTGTGTCCCACATACGGAAGAAGGATGTTCATCTGAAGCCCTGTGAGTTTCTTGGACCCACCTGTGAGATCCGTTCCACTATCCAGTCACAAGGACATTACCACCTCTGGCTTAAAAAATGACTGAGACACACTCCTGAGAGGGGGTTACAGTCATGGAGACATGAACACAGGTTGAGCACTCATGATTCAACAGCCCCAAAGTCAAACTGTTCCAAAATATGAAACTTTCTGAGCCCTGACATGATACCACAAGACAAGTCCCCAGCTGACCTCTTAATACGGTCACTGTCACAACCCAGGTGCTCCAAACATATTGTTCAAGAATTCCTCCAGCCTGTGTGTATGAGGTGTTTATAAAGCAGGTGAATTTTGCATATAGATTTGGGTCCCAGACCCAAGATTTCTCATTATGTTTATGCAAATACTGAAAAATCTGAAATCCAAAACACTTCCTCCCAAGCATTTCGTATAAGGGCGAGGCTTGCAAGCGTGTGATAAGACCCGCTACTCGCTGCCACAGAGGAAAGTCCACAGCTTGAGCAGGAGAAGAGCCACCAACAGCTGGCCCCCTCGACACACCAGGGCTGCAGCCTGGACTTGGCGCAGATATGCAGCAAGGTAACCCAGCCCTGGTGTGTCGAGGCCACCCAGTGCTCAGACAGACGGGTTCCAAACTGTGGGGTGCGGCAGTCTGTGATTCTAGAACATATCCCCTCCCCCCCCCCAGACCATCAAAGTCAGTGCCAAACGGACGGACTGCCCACCTTTAGTGTTTGCTGGAGCAGACGGCAAAGAAGGACGGCCCAGGGCTGGGAGGAAGGCGAAGATTCCCTCCAAGGAGTAAAAGAAACTGCCGGAGAGCAAGGGGTGGGGACAGGGAGGGGCTGTGGCTCTTCCCTTGGAACACCCCCTGGAGGCCCTACGCTGTCACCTTGAATGGTTTTCCTCCAAGTTGCCTTCTGGAAGTTTCACTTCACAACTTGCCAGATACCTGGCCTATCTGTTTCTGTCATGAAAAGACTAAAGCCCAGAGCTGGCCCGGAAAAGGCTGTGGGTCTTGTCTCTGTCTTCTCCAGCTTCACTTGTCTTCACACTGCTCCCCAGACTCCTGCATGTAGTTCTGAGCGCTCACCTACCACAGGGCCTTTGCTTACGCTTTCCCCTGGGCTTGGAACCTCCATCTCTTCCTCTTCATCTTTCATCCCCACCTCCCCCACAAACCTGTCATTCCTCCAGTCTAATGTAAGTATCCTCTCCCTCACCCAGCCTTCCCTGACCATCACTGATCCCCAGTGACCCAAGCTTCCTCCCCTATACTGCCAGAGTCACAGACATTTGCAATTACTTGTTTAACAAATTTCTGTATTCTCATAAAAAAGTCATGAGGCTAGAATGATTCCATGTTTTTTTACTCTAGCACCTTCTAGCTCAATACTGACCACCAAGCATCTGCTTCAAAACCATTTCTCCATCTATGGAACCGAGAATAAACTTCCCCCACCTCTGGAAGTGCAGAGTCAGGTCCTGTTTTTCCTTTTGACATCAAGATGAGTCAAAAGTTTCCACACTGTCCTTTCTATAACGAAGGCAATGTGTTCACAGAAAGAGACACGAGACCGCAGCTTCATACAGACCAAAAGCCCAGAGAAAGGCCCTGTGCTTACCCAAGTTCTCAGGGGAGAGAGGTCCACTCAATGCTCAGGGAGGGGACCCCCAGCAGCCCCATCCAGCCTCGGGGCCTCCTCCGCGGGTGTGGCTTGCCAGTGGCCCAGGGCCCAAGTGGGAGCACCCCTCCTGCTGCTCCTCCTGAGGCGGTTCTATTGTATCAACACTGCCGTGGGTGAGGACGAACCTGCCCCACCGGCTCAACCCCCACCCCCACTGTGCCCTCTGCAGTGACTTTGAGTCCCCACCAGGAAGCAGAACACTGTTTTTTGATGAGGGTAACTTGCCTTCAGCCAGCTGAGGGTTAGGGACAAAGTTTCTAGGGGACCTACAAGGGCCCTAGAAATTGTAAGGTCCAGGGCTGGGGTGTGGCTCGGTGACAGAGCGCTTGCCTAGCGTGAGCAAGGCCCTGGGCTGTATCCCCAGCACCACAGAAAGAAAGAAAAAACGTAGGCATGAAATAATACTAAAAAGTGGCTTTTAAAAAGACTATTACCCACCGTCCTATTCGCTGTTTTCCAAAACATTCTATGTACTTTCAAAGGCAAAAAAAAAAAAAAAAAAAATCAGAGGAATACTTGCCGGTGCCCAACGTCTAAAATTCAGTTTCCTTTGTGGCCCAGGTAGAAAGAGACAGGACTGCACATGATATCCACTCTTTTCCTCAGGAGAACTACGGCATTTCCTGTTTCTTTGGCAGAGAAGGTGAGGGCCACAGAGTGAGGCCCTCAGAGCCACTTTCTCTGGGCTCAGAGGCTCCTCCGCACCAGACGCTGCACTGACATGAAGGAACTTTCCAGAGCAGCTTCCCAGGTGTACACAGATCCCCTGCATGTGCTCACCCATAAAATGAACCCCAAGTTGAAGGGGTTTTTCTGTTCTTTTACTTTTTATTGTGGGGAAAATGTCAATACCTGCAAGAAGGTACCAGGGCTTCTCTTGATGCTTTGACGGTAGCCCTTGTGGCTTTGAAACTTACAGGTTTTTTTCTTTTTCCCAACCTTCTCCATCCTGACCCCCTCTCTGATCTTCTTTTCCCTGATCTCTCCTCCCTAATCTCATTTTCTCTGAATCACCTCTTTAAAAGTCCCCCGTTCCTGCTGATGGACAGACCCACAGCCTTTGGGATAGGAGGCCCCTGGGTTTCTCCTTTGGTAGCAAAGCAATAAACCTTTATCCTTGTTCTCAAAACCGTGTCCTTGTTGTTGGATTGGCATCAGGGACAAGGACAGAGCTTTCGGCTATAAGAGTACAGAGAATATCCCCCCATGTATGTGTCACTCCAGTAACTGTTGAAGTTTGTGTCATCTGTGCCTGCCCACTTCCCCACCTTCCCCATTACTTTGAAGCAAATTACATACATCATGTATTTCTTCCAAAATATGAGGGTGGGGGATATGGCTCAGTTGGTAGAGTGCCCGCACAAGGCCCTGGGGTCACTCCTCAGCACCACAAAAAAAAAAAAAAAAGGAGGGGGGCCTGAGGCTGTAGATCAGTGGTAGAGCGCTTGCCTAGCGCATGTGAGGCACTGGGTTCAATCCTCAGCGCCATATATATAAAAAAAATAATAATGTTTTTAAAAAAAAGGACCATAACTTAGATTTTAGGCTGGGGATACAGCTCAGTTGGTAGAGTGCTTGCCTCAAAATATGTCAGCATATCTCTAAAAGATAAGGATTTTTTCATAGATCACACACACACACACACACACACACATATACACACAAACACACACGTCATAGACACTCCTAAAATTCAGCAATAATTCCTTAATTTCAAATATCCCATCAGGGTTCAAATCTCCTAGGTTGTCTGAAATTTCATTTTTAATAAACCCCTTGGGTGTTTTCTGTGCATGATCATTGATTGACACCACTGCTTTTGAGAACACTGAAAAATCTAACTTGAGTTGGGGGGGCAGCAGGGAAGAGCTGGGTGGGGACAGCTGGGCAGTTGTGGCCATTTTAACCCTGGCACAGTGCAGACTGGGGTCCCTGAGGGAGCAGGCTGTCTACTCCCAGGCCCTGTAAGAAAGGAATGGTTTGGGCCTATACAGTGTCACACACCTGTAATTCCAGTGACTCTAGAGGCTGAGGCAGGAGGATGGCAAGTTCAAAATACCTCAGCAACTTGGTGCAGCCCTAAGCAACTTAGCAAGACCATGTCTCAAAAGTAAATAAATCAAATGGCTGGGGATACAGCTCAGTAGTAAAATGCCCCTGGGTTCGATTCCCAGAAAAAAAGAGAACAACAAGAACAATTTGGGTTTCTTGAGAAACCGAGCTTGGCCACACCCACTAATCTGTCAGAGCAGATCTGCCTACAAGTCTGGATTGAACTGGACAAAGTCCTGAAGACGGAACTCAGGATTCACAAAGCAGATCAGCAAGATGAGAGCTAAGAACTGCAAAAGGAATCTCAGGGCTGGGGAGCCTCTCCCCTCTGTGAACTCTGCAGGCCAGGGAGGCATGAACTGAAAATTAATTCGAAATGCATGATAGATCAATTTTAAATGTAGAACTGTATAACTTTTAGAAGGAATAGAGTAGAACATTTTGGAACAGAGGGCTGGTAAAGCGTTCTTAGACATGACACCTAAAGTACAATCCATGAAAACAACACACTGATGAAGGACTGGGGGTGCGGC